AAGGTAACTGAACGCTGCACACTAACTAGAGCAGGTGAAGGGTAGAAGAGTTTAACTAACAGATATCGCCATGAAACTTCCCTAGTTGTAACTTACATTACACACCTGTGAGCGTCACAGACTGTATTTAATTTGCCTTCATGGTATTTTGGGGGAAGCAGAGACATCAGAAACTCACACTGCTGAGTTCGAATCGAGGAACCGTCACGTCCTTGTCAAACTCTGAGGACGCTGGCGGGGGGGCAGTTTGGGACAGACGAGGTGTTTACTGTTACATTTCAATGAGTATGTTACTCACTCCCTCGTTGTTGTTACTGAGCCGCCTCCTCTTCTTCATGTTGTCCATCGTCTTCAGGACCGAGCTGGCCGTGCTGCAGAGAGAAAAGTATAATTTCCACATTAAACTCTCCTCCTTCCACCTCATTAAAAAATCCACAATCTATAAATCTGTTCATTTCTTAAGAGTCTCCAAGATGTCACTGATGGATCGCACTCTAGAAATCAGGTTGAATCATCAATCAGATCATACTCGTAGGCCCCGCCCCTTAAAATCTGATTTTCAATGAGCAATAAGTCGTCAAATATAATAATAAACAACGATAAAACCACATTATTGTTATACTATTACTACAATCCCATAATCATCATGTATCTGTCTAATTCATTATTCATATATTATGGGGATGATTGTAGTAATAATGTTACAGGTGTATTAATGAAAATCAAACCGTAAACATACATTTAAAAGATTTTTTTATCTAAAGAGAAGACAGGAAATAATGAGAAAGATGAAAACAAAGGTCACTGACACAAGTTATTAAAGCTAAAATATGTAAACTCTCCTCTCCTTTCTAGATGAGCTGTGTACTCAGATTACTTCCATTAAGGCCTTTAGGGGCTCCGTACGGAGGCTGCCGTCTTACTTGGTGCTGATGCCATCGAACATGTTGGAGGCCTGATATCTGCTGGTCACTTTGATCAACCTGGAGCTTCTCCTCGGCCCACTCCTCCTGCCACCTGGGCACACACAATAAACAAATGTTCAGTCTGACAACAAAATAAAATACATCTTCGCAACCAGTCAGTTTTCTTCTGTAGTTAAACAATAAATAATACAGACGAGGTTTCAGCAGGTTTAATTAAAGACTTTAAAACCATTATGAATGCAACTGAAGACCTATTTTATGTCCATTGATCACTGAATTCAAACAATGATTATAATGTAGAACACAGTGAGTCCAGAAACTGAGCAGAAATTAAGAAGCATTAAGATACTTTGACATTTTATAATGTTTTATAATGTGTGTTATGTTTATTGTTATAAACTATAGTATTACAGTATAACACTTTAAGTCTGTACGTTTATAACGCAGAATCATTTCATAATGTTATGATTACTATTGTAAAACATTATGAATATTTATAAGTGCTTATAACTATAACTACACATTAATATATACAGTGTAATGCATTCTAACTATGTTTCTAATGCATTATAGACATTGGTGTGTTTCAGTGCGATTGACACAGATTATTCCCAGAATTTATACAGGTAACTATCTAAGACCTGTCACAACCGCATTTAAGATCCAGACAGATGGATTTTAGAGTTTTAAAGACTTTGAGGCAACGTTGACGCTACAGGAACAAGTGACCCAGTGACGAGTGTTAAAAAGAATCAGATTCAAATTTTCAAATCTGATCTGTTGGACTCTGATTGTGGACTCTTTCATACAGCTCTGTATTCCCAACCCTCCCTGATATTCCAGGCCTGTATTCCCAACCCTCCCTGATATTCCAGGACTGTATTCCCAACCCTCCCTGATATTCCAGGTCTGTATTCCCAACCCTCCCTGATATTCCAGGTCTGTATTCCCAACCCTCCCTGATATTCCAGGCCTGTATTCCCAACCCTCCCTGATATTCCAGCTCTGTATTCCCAACCCTCCCTGATATTCCAGGCCTGTATTCCCAACCCTCCCTGATATTCCAGGCCTGTATTCCCAACCCTCCCTGATATTCCGCTCTGTATTCCCAACCCTCCCTGATATTCCAGGCCTGTATTCCCAACCCTCCCTGATATTCCAGGCCTGTATTCCCAACCCTCCCTGATATTCCAGGCCTGTATTCCCAACCCTCCCTGATATTCCAGGCCTGTATTCCCAACCCTCCCTGATATTCCAGGCCTGGATGTTTGTGACTGTTCTTACCTGCAGTGTTCTGAAGCCTTTGAGATTTCCTATAAACACAGAGAGATTCTCAGTATGAGGAAGCATTGGAGTTATTATTATTATTACTGATTGATAATCACAGTTTCCTGTTCAGTGATCGGTCAATGAATTGATTGATCATCAGAGCAAACACTTGTTGGTCTCTTTGGTCCGACCTGATGACGACTCTCACTGGTTTCTCTTCGTCTTCGTCCTCGTTTGCTTCCGAATCGACGAGATTCTGTTCGTCATCGTCAGCGTTAAATCCCTGAAAGACACGACAGGAGTCGGTGACACACACACACACACACACACACACACACACACACACAACTGTACACATTCATGGAGTGCTGTTGCTCGTTGTTTGTTTGTTGGTAGCGTTCCTCAGTATTTACACAGTATTTTTATATTATTTATGTGTTTGTTTATGTATATTTGTATTTATATACATTATGTTGTTATTTACTGTTGTAATTGTCTTTAATGTTGTTTATGTTTGGATCTTAAACAGCAACAATTATTATTATTACTAAATTAAATCAGTCAAATTCATTGATAAATAAGTTCATTAAATATGTAACGTTAACGTTAGTTGTATTAATAATTACTAAAACAAATGTCAGGTGACCATAATGATTAATCAGGATCAGAAATACTTTATTGATCCCTGTGGATGTTCACCAGCCATTAAAGAAACATAAATAATAATATTATCTGTATTATATTACAGGCTACAGTATATGTGTAATGAATAATGAATAAATAATAACAATAGTATTAAAGTATTGCACATTAATCAGAGTTACTAATGATTATTTTTGATTAATAACAGTTCTGAATCCACACTGGCTCTGATGTCATTTGGTGATTTTTGTTCTTTTAAATCAATAATAAGATTATGTATGTTTCCCTATGATCACAATCACTTTAAAGTAATTAATAAATATAATTAACCGGTTGCTGTTAATCACACTGACACTTATTAACACTCAAACACATTACAGGTCAAATGATGCAGTGAAGCCTCGTGAGGAAACTTTAAACCCAAACAGGCTCACTCACCCGGGGCGGTACAGAATCCTCCGGCCGGGGGACGGTGCTCCTGCTCCGGGTCCCCGGTGGAGCCCGCGGCGGGGACTCGGAGCTCCTGGCCGGCCTCCGCTGCTGCCGTCCGCCGCTCTGCTCCGCGTCCCCTCTGCCTCTACCGCGGAGCGTCACCATGGCAACGCCGCACACACAAGCTAACGCGGCTGTTAACTTACCGGCGAGTTAAAAACAAACGTTCAACAAACAAACAAACAGACAAACAAACACCGGGACTTTTAAAGTGTCGACCGGTTGTGTTGCTCCGAGTTTGGAGGCCGAGCCGAGACACACACACACACACACACACCCGAACACACAGCTGATGGGGCTGATACCGAGTCCTCACTAACCGCTGCGTCCATTCAAAGACGTCCTCTGGCGCCGCCTGACGTCATGGCGTAATGTGCGTGAGTAAACAAAATAAGATAATAAAGGTTTTTTTTCTTTACCCCTCCTCTATCAAAACAAAATCAGTTTTATATTATATTTGATCCTTTCCACATACACAAATCTAAATGTTCCAATTATAAACATTTTTTATTTTATTTTGAAAGGGAAGTCAAACAATACATTTATTTACCTTGTATACTTTATTGAAGTAATATATTGTCTTTGTTTGCAAATAAAGTTAAATATAAATAAATAAATACAATTAAAAAAGATGGTTTATACACTGTAAAAACCTGATGAGTTAAAGCCTTTTTATTAACTCTAACAATTAAAGCATGAAAGATTCAGAACTCAAGTATTTATTGTTAAGGGAACTTGAAGTTAACTGAAGTTACTCTCTTATGCAGCATTTCTCCAAACATATTTAACATGTGTGAACAGAATTTGTCTGACTAAAGTAACTTAAATGCATTTTTATTTATACAAATGTTACCACTGAAGTTGTGTTTTCTTCCACTTAAGCAAATCGTTACATTACCTAAACAGTTTATAATTAGTTGATTATCAAAATGGTAGCCAATTAATTTTCAGTGTGTTTATAATGATAGAAAGTCAACTTAAAGAAAATGAGTCGAGCAGCAGGAAAAGTTCAGAAATTAACCACATTTGCACATTTTAATGAGGTAGAAGGAATAGATTACTTTTACATTTAGTAATTATTTAGGATTATTAAACAGGATTACAATTTTAAAATTCACTGAGCAGAAGACACATTTTTGATGCTACAGTCAAGTAGCACAGTGGGGGGTAAATGGGGGTATGTGCACTAGGGGTACTTTGGAGTACTAAAGGGTACTTGAGATTGTTTTTTAAATTTAATCTAAATCTAATCTAAATATCTAAAACAAAAAAATTACAATCTTTTTTGAGTTATGGCAACTTCTAATTATTATTAGATTATTATATTATGTTCAACAAATGTGCAACACTGAGTTATTGGAATCAGATTTTCCTCTACAATCAAAGGTATTTTTAATTACCTCTTAGTTAGTAATTGGCATCATAAACACAAGTTTATAAATTGGTTTGGTTATTTATTGTAATTAACTAGTTCCAACTCATATAAATCAATAAAGTAGAAGTTTTATCTTGCAACCATGCATTTATTTAAGTGGTGACATTAAGTCAGCTGATTTACTGTTTATTTGTTATTGTATTACTTTATAGGGGCTTTTATTTTTCTACCAAAATGTTTTGTACTGGTCAGAAAAAAACATTACTGAACAAAGTTTGACACTTATTGTGTCCATATTCTTGTTTTTATGATTGATATTTTATTTACAACAACAACAGATATGAACAGACAAAAGACAATTATAACTGCATATACAGGTGCAGCCACATAAAACAGTAAACAGACATAAAAATATATATACTTACTGTAAAAAGCTGTTCAATCAAGAATCTTTTTCAACTTAAAAAATTGAGCTTGTGTTACTTTTTCTTTTCAATGTAACAGTTCCAACAGTTTCCGATTACAGTGCATAAGCAATGATGTTAGTTTTAATGGTAATCCTGGTTTCAAACTGCACACTGAGGCTTCGTACTCTGGAATGTCACACTGCTTCCTCCACGTTCTCGTACAGGGCGTGGTCATCTTTGTCTGGGCTGGCGTTTTCGTTGTCTGGATCTACGGCTGCAGAGATGAACAGATTTAATTCTAACCCCTACAAACATGCTGTTAGTGCGGTTTGGTGCACAATTATATTGACTGATTCAGATACTTACAGGAGTCCCTGTTTTTACACCCTGCAGAGAACAGAAAATATATTTAGTTGAGAATGAACGTAGGTGCAGTATGTGTATAGGCATCTGGCCTGTATTTATAATATACCTGCACTTTCCTGCTCTGTTTGTCCCTCCAAATGTGTTGTAATAGTTCAGAACAGATACTAAAGGATAAGATTGTGATATAGTGTCTGTGTCAGAGCCTTCTTTATTTCTGTAAAATCACAGTTTCATCAGTAACATCCAAAGCAGTGGTTGCAAACTTATTTCTTAAAGGTTCAGGATTTAGTGGCATCTAGCGGAGTAATTACAGATGAAACTCACTGACTACATCCTCCCTTTCCAAGCACAAGGGGGAAACTAAGGTGGACCGATAATGTGTGAAAAATGTAAATGGCCCTATCTAGAGCCAGTGTTTGGTTTGTCCATTCTGGGCTACTGTAGAAATGGGTCTACATGGCTACTTGTTTTTTAACAGAAGTGCAACTGAAGGGCCTGACGATGCAGCATACAGTATGTGCATACAAACACTCTAGTCAGCGATTAAATGCCACAGGAAGAAGAAGATGTCAGATGACACAACTGCAGCTGTACGGGTGATTTACTTTTCATGCACAGTGCTCCGTCGTCAAATCTCTCTCCTCCGCCCTACTGGCTGTGCTCTGTGTGTGTGCGTGCAGGAGCTCAGCCACACCACTGCAAATGAGGCTGAGCAATGGCATGCACATTAACACTATGCTACTGAGGCATGTCTTCTCAAGTCAGATTATTACTTTTATGCGCAGTAATTCATAGTTTTCACGTGGCGTCACACTCTCATTGGAACGCCCTCTTAGAGGACAAAGCAAGGCTTTCTTCTGCTGCCCGTCAGCTAACTTAATGGTAATGATTATCGACACAGATAAAGTTTGTAAATGCCGGATTGCACTATCCAATGAGGAGTTGTGCTTCTATAGAATAAAACCTCTGTAATCTTAGTGCCTTGTCGCTGCCTTGAGAGTTTCCCTCTCCAGTGTTAGGCTGCACTGAAGCACCCGAATTACCCGAATAAACTGTCTGTATTCTGAGTCTGAGTCTTTATGTTAATTATTTACGCTTATTGGCTTTTTGTTCTTGGGGCTTTTGTTGTACTTGCAGTGGCGTGTTGAGTGTGGTTGTTGTGTCTGATCTCTACTGCTGTGTCTCCTCTGCTGTGGAGTTTCACAGCATCCTGCTCCTGCCCTCTCACACACAGAGAGCTCAGACTGTCAAGGCAGACAGCGAGAGAGAGTTGGCGATGGCTGCACTGTGTCTGAAAGTAGTAGTAGTAGAAGTAGAAACATCTGTATGGCAGCTGACACAAGATTGGATCGGGTCAATAAAGCTCAATATAGCCAATACCGATCAGTTTAAAAATGCAATTGGCGCCGACATCAATCTGGGGACATTCCTAGACTGTACTTTTGCATGCTTTCATTCTGGTGGCAGCTTAAAGCGCCCGGTATACTCGACGCATTCAAGCTGTCGCGCGACAACGTGATGTCAAAATGACGTAGATCTCGCTGCCGCACCAGGATTTTGGCCCGGTCGTGCGACGTCGCGCACCACTCTTTTTTTTTCAGCTGAGCGCGACAAACCGTAAATAGGAAGATGGACGATCTGTACGATCCTTCAATAAAGGAGCACTGAGTTGCCAGAATTCATGGCGAGAAATTGCAATGAATGTTGGAAAAGAGGAGGACATATGCTGGAAAATTTGGAAGAACCTCCGCGACCGATTTTGAAAAAAAACCAAAAAAAACCCCCCTTTTTCTTCTTCTAGTGCGTAGAAACAGCAAAGTCGGTAGCCTTTCCTCACTAGCGACACCTCTGTTCAGGAGAAGACTGCAATTAGTGCCGCAACCACCACGCGCAAGTATATATAGTCACGGCGCTCCCGTGACGTCACGTTGTCGCGCGACAGTTGGTCTGCGTCGAGTATACCGGGCGCTTAAGGGTTAGGGATTCTCCACAAGATCGATGTAAAGATCGTCAAACTGGAGCTCTGGCAGGAACTTTTACCGCGGCGGCGGGCGCTGTATATGTATTGCAAGTGCTCAAAACTTGCAGTGTGTTCATGAATCTTTGTTTTTCTTTTTTGGAGAGGTGAAATAAATATTCATGGTTTAAAATAAATAATAATTCACATGGCTCTTTTGCGGTTCTACAGAGTTTCCAGTGTAAGTCACCATATAGGAATGTGGTTTTGTCCTCCAGGGGAATAAATGATTCAGTAGAAACTGTAACTAAATACTTTTCAGTTAGTTGCCCAACACTGGTTATATTCCATTTTTAAATGAGGAACATCCAGTTTTTTAAAGAACAGAAACAAAAAAGCAAGGTTTCTGTTTCAGTATCAGTCTGCATTGTTGACACAATAGTGTGTTTTGTACCTACCGATCAAGCCTCTCTCGCACAGGACCACTATCAGCGTACCAGTGATCAACCCCACGACCCCGACTATGATCCGAACAACAGGAAGAACATCTGTGTGGGTTTCTTCAGGGCTGGGAACTTCCAGATCTAAAACACAGAAAACATTCAATCTTAGTTTTAAAATTCAAATCACTTTCACAGCACTTCTATACTTTTATCTACTCCAGGTTTGACATCGGCTTTGTCGGCATTTGGTCGAATGCCTAAAGAAAACACTTGTGGTCATGATCTGCACAATATTCTGGTCTTTTGGGTGGAAACATGTGACCAGGAACGCCCAAGTGACGTTATCTCAATTATGGTGTTCTTTGCTATGAGCACTAGCCCATCAGAGGCACAGTAAGGCAAGTCATAACTGAAGTCTTTCCTTGACGCTGTCACCAAGTGCTTGCTCATGGTGGGAACTGTTGGGTCTCTGTAAATAATGTTGTAAGGAGTACGGTATAGACCTGTTCTATTTGAAAAGTGTCCTGATGAGATGACTTTGTTGGGGTAAATTTGCAGCCACAGAAAAATTCAGTTCAGCTATGTAAAAAATAAACACCATTAGATCCGGTCCGTATTTGGGCATTTGCAAAACATAACCACTAGAAAGAAACACTATATCATTGTTTCTGAATCCTTTTAAGGTTTTAATCTTAATAAAAATGGGTGGAGACTTAAATAAGGTGTTTGTGAGCAGAAAGTCTGTCTGGTGTTTACTCTACTATTTCATGTCAAATGTCCTGCTGTGAAATATAAAACAATTCCTTGTGTCATTTACACTTTGTGACGGATGTATTATCAATAATTATTGTAATCGGCTTACCACACTATAAAAATAACTGACGTCACTCAGATGAACGTTTCCGGTTGTGGTAATTTAAATCATTTGAGACACGTAACAGGCAATTTTCGGCAAAAATATAAATTTTGAACTAATGAGAAACACAATAAATAAAATGTTTTACCCCAAACGTCCTCAACACGTAACCCAGATGCCGGGTGGTACACTTCACAAGTGTATTTTGCCTGGTCGCTCTTCAAAATCTCCACTTTGTCAACTCTCTGGTAGGTCTCGTCTCCGTTTGGTCGAACGCCTGAGGTCATCACTCCGTCCATGGCGTCCAGAACGCGGCCGTCTCTCTTGATGTTCAAGACTATGTCTTTGGGTAGAAATCCTGTGGCCCAGCACACCATAAAGACGTTTGTCTCAACACGGCTGCTCTTTGTATACATGTGCACTTCAGGTGGAGCTGGAATGAGAAACCGTGAAGTGACTTAATATTTGATTAATGTTACTACAAGTATGATAAAGACAATCTAGCAAACAGAATTGGCAAAATCAAACACCACAGCTTTGACACATGCTTCTTTTATAATTTCAAGTCTTTTTTTTAAAGAATTTTCTGTCTGGATTTGAAGGTCATAGTTGTATGTATCTGTATGTAATATGGTGTTGGCTTCCATATGGCAGGTTAATACTGGATTTGGTTCCAGGTTGGTAAATTACATTAATTAGGCTTCTGATGTAGTGATTCTACCTTCTCAGCAAAAAGGTGATTACAGATGTCAAATTAATCTTTGAGTTTTTTTGTTTTTGAGTTATTTGTTGACATTGAATAAGATGACAAATACTATAATAACAGAAATGGTTAAAGGCTCACAGACATTATGTGTCAGTATTCTACCTTCTCAGCAAAAAGGTGATTACAGATGTCAAATTAATCTTTGAGTTTTTTTGTTTTTGAGTTATTTGTTGACATTGAATAAGATGACAAATACTATAATAACAGAAATGGTTAAAGGCTCACAGACATTATGTGTCAGTAGTATAAATTCCGTCATTTCAAGAATCGTTAGTGTTCATGTATCATATTTTAACCACCTGCACAATAATCCCTCCATTACTAAAACTACATATATTTTCTCTACAAGGAATATAAAACTATAGACAACCATACGTACAGGCCTCTTTCAGCTCCTTATTCCCGTACTCCACGAACTTGCCCAACCAATCTATACACTCGTTCTCCAGGTAGCCTCTGGTGTATTCTTTTAGGACCTGGACTTCATCCCACTTTCTCTTGGTCTCCTGTGCCTCTTGAACTGGGGCAACCCAGACTTCATGGATGTCGTCAAAGGCCAGGAAGTCATTTCCATCATAGCTGTACATGTCCTTCCCACGTCTGAACTTCATCTTGCCGTCGGGCTGGGTTTCGCCCTCACAGCCGTGCATCCACTGAAGAACATGGACTTCTGAAAACCAGAGGTAAGAGCAGGACAGTGAAATAAAACATGGACTAATGAGGAAATGGACCAGGAGATTACAGAATAATGAAGTTTGAATGTGTGTGGATTTAGAGGCACAGTTCATTTCCGTTACTTGGTTGGCTGGTGTTGCAGGCAGCCCCGAGGAAGAGCGCCAGGCTTTGAAGCCAATTGGACATAGTGACCAAACCTTGCAATTACAGCAATGGCGTCCATCACGTGATACACACTGGTACAATAAGACTTTTTCACACAAGGTCACATGGTGAAAGAAGCAGCTGGTGGAAAATGGTGGAAACATATTTTGGAGCCCCACAACCTGAAACTGCGAAGTGACTCATCAATCAGAATCAGAATTTGATCCATTTACATGGTCCCATAACATTTTGAAAGAGTGGAAGAGTGCATGATTAGATTATTTAATCCCCAGTTAAGTTAACAGATGACTAAACTGGAAATAAACTAACTTGGCCTGTGTATATCTTCCGTGCTCTGTGGGCCACTGTGGTTGCTGTCACACTGTGGTTGCTGTCACACTGTGGTTGACTGGCAACAGATGAACGTTATTCAGCGTGGCCGGGTTGCAGCTGGCTGGCTAACCTTAGCTTGCTTGCTCGCTAACATTATCACTTGCAAAATACAGTCTATGTAGCTTAGCTTCCAAAGTAATTCCCCAGCTAACGTGATCCATGATACTAACCAACAAACGGTGTTGATTTTAGCCAACAATACACGATGCAACGGTACAAAGCGCGAGACAACTCTGAAGAGTAAGTATGAGATGCCAAAGGGTCCTGTGAACAGCTGTAGTCTGAAAATGTGAGCCGTTCTCACCATATTTAAACAATATCTCTAAATGGACCTTGTAGAGAGATTGTGTCATCAGCAATTAAAATATGATGTAAAGAATAACCCAGCAGGAGTTTAATAGAGTAAATATTTCATGGATCTTACCCGAGTCGTTCTGTCTCATTCGTCTCTTCAGAATGTCGATGTTGACGTTGAACCACTGCTGCTTGCTCTGGCGGGACTGTGTGCCTTTCTCCCAGTAATCTGCAGCCAGTCGCTTATCCATCCAGTCCTGTTTGGGTACTTTCTTCTGCAAGTCACTGTCAAAGTAATCAATCATCTTGTTGTCCAGCTGACCCATGCCTGTGAACTGATGGAGGCCCGGGAGACCGGGAGGTTTGGAGAAGGCCGTGTAGATGTAAGTGAGAGAATGGATCTCTGCAAGTCACACAGGTAGAAAGACAGACAGGTATTTATTAGACCAGGTGGATGATTCATTAACCCCTGTTAGGGAGGGTTCAGTCCAGTACAGTCAGCACAATTACAGGGGAAAACTAGGTAGGTGAGTCTAAGTACGGTGGCCCAGAGGTGTTGAATCCATTGCAAAAGTGACAATAAAAGTGTAAAAGTGATGTTTTTTCATGAATTTGAGATTTTCACTCTTCTGACTTAAAAGCACACAAATAAAACACCTGCATTTAATTTTCATTAATCCAAGACAAGTTTCTCTTTAAGCAATCAATAAAAGCAAATATTCTTTCAATTATTTTATTCAAATAAAGAAAATATTCATCTATCTTCTCGGCCATGTCCTTGTTGCAGGAGGCCTGTGAGATGAATGTAAATCATTTTTTAAATTTTAAAAAAAGGATCAGTTATTTATTATTCTTAGTTTTGCCTGCATCCTATTAACTGAAAACGTACCGCTGTTCAGTCCCGTCCACAGCAGGATGAAAACTGCAACCGAATACATTTTAAGCACCGAGACGAATGCCTTCATGTATCTTAAACTCAAATAGTTGGTCTGTGGTCTTCCGTCCTGCTTCACAGAGTACATGGTGCATTCAGGTGATGCTCAGAGTTAAGGACATTGTGCTGCTCTCAAAGTCACATACAGTTTTCAGCAAACTAAAGACTTTTATTCTAATTACTGACACACCAAAATAAACATGAACATTATTAGTGCAGAAGTTATTACTGATGATGATAGTAATTCATTTGTTGATTGTCAAATTTTTTATGATAGTTTTAATAAGCAATTGATACATAACTAATCCCATAAACTACCAAACATTTGCTACTCACAGACTCTCAAATGTCAGGACTGCTTTCTGTTTCATATTATTGTAAACTGAATAACTGCTTTTTGGCTGCTGGTCAGAAATAAATCGACAGATAGAAGACTTTCTTTTAGATGTTTCCTACTCCAAACACTCAGAGGTGACATTAAACACACCACTGCTACTTCCTCAGTTTATATATGGGTTATTTTTCGTGGTTTTCTGTTCCTTTGTACACACACACACACACACACACACATTCAATGTCTAACATATGCCAATAAGGCTTGGCTTAATTTACAGTGTTTGCTGATTGCTTACAAATAAGACACAACAGTTGTAGTTAATCATCTCACTTCTATGTCAAAATTAAATCAAAACCTAACAATCCTTGTACTGTTGTACTGTACAATGACTGTTGATGTGTCTGATTACTGCAATAACGTAAGTATACTGTTATGGCACACCTGATATTCATATTTCACCCAGAGCTGACACGGATCTTCCTTTCCCATCCTTCCTTTCATATCTGCTACACGCTCCCCTTAGAGTTGTATTAAAGTTTCCTTCGCCCTACTTCATCAGAGTTACATACATTACATAACGTGAATATTATATGAATATGAACACTAGCATGGAATATGAATATTGTTTGCATATAAAAATTAACATAACATAATACAGTTTGCTTCATTTTTCAAGTTTATCCCAGAATGCATTTTCTTTTCTACAACAGTTACAAAGTGCTTCACAAACAAACATGTAACAGGTCAGTTTAGGACCAAAATGCAACACACTTAGGCAGGTATACAGTCAATAATGACCTTTATTTCCAGCTCGTGGAACAAACAAAGCAAGCAAGCTACAAACGATAAAGTTAAATTCTGGCTTAAGGTTGTGAACCCTTAAGAGTCTTTTGCAGGAGTTGAAGAGCCGGCAGGTGAGTGTTCACACGCGATGGTATGTGTGACAATATGATCAGAGTCTCCAAACCGGGGGAAGAGACGAATATATACATATATTAAAAAAGAGACGCATCTTTAATAAGTAAATAAACACAGAATCAGGTCAGTGTGTGTAGCCCTCTAACCACAGGAAGACTTTATCTAACCTGCAGCTGTTTACATTCAACCAGACAAGAATTCAAAAGATAAACTGCAGAATGATTTCCTGGTTGTATTTGTGTATAAATAACTGTATATATTGTTTAATTTGATTTTATTCTGTTTTATAACCTTGTGTTGTATAATGATGAATACATTTATATATCTATTATTGTTTATAGTAAATCATTGTAAAAGCCCAGACAATCATTATCAACAAATAATTATAAAAAGCTTCAGTGATAGATAATTGGCTCACGACCTCACAGTCTAAACTGGAAGCTTGGGAGTTGAATATTTTTATTTCCACTGGGTCTTATTTTGAGAGTAAAACTGTATACATTCAGAGACTCTTAAAATCAAGTCAATTCCAGAGGCACCAAATGTTCTTCTCCATCCAAATCTGCTCGTACTGTCTGTTGGTGTTTAGCAAAGGTGACGTCCACTAAACACTATATAAGGTTATAAAAGGTGGTGTACCGTGTGCAAATATTCAGGCCACCAAAAAGGTGATAGAAAATACAAGCAATATATACACACATATATATATGTGTGTGTGTGTGTGTGTATATATCTATATAAACGAATATCAATAGAAAAATAAACACTGGAGCAATAGTATTTCTTTAGCAAACTAATTTAATACAATTATATTAACAATTATAATTACTCTAAAACATAATCTGATCTGACTATATTTTATCTATGATTTTTTAACAAAATTAGAACAAATCATGGATACAAACAAAAATAAGATAAGATTTGTTCATATATTGCAGTTTGCATGAGCCCAAATATTGCTGTCCCGCACATTGTACGTAATTGGAAAAAAATAACATACACGTATCAGCACAGATCTTAACAAGTATAGTGAGTTGGTATTACGATTTATTGCAATTTGTGTTTGCTTTCAACAAAAAAGACATAATAGAATCATACACTTCTAGAGACTGTATATCATGAGTCATATTTACAAAAAACAGTGCACATCAGCGGTGTGTTACGCATATTCATTCTTCAGGTCAGATTTGAAGAAATTCCTTGAAGGTTTTCCTTGAGGTATTGCATTAACGAGAATGGACACACTGACAATCTGAAAACCTAATGCCTCCATCTTCGGCTGTCGCCAGCACAGAGGCATGAAAAGTGATGCGAGATATATTGATTCATCATCACAATACACAGTTTATTGTTCTGGCTTCAGCATAATCCCAGCTCTTCGGAGACGCATGGATCCAGCTTGCAGAGAGCAACAATCAGGGCTGAGCTGGCTTTATTTCCCTTCCTTCGCACCATGTCGATCAGTTCTCGTGCCTTTTCTGTTCCGACTTTTGTTCTGACTGACTGCATTTCATGATCGTTTATAATGACACATTCAAAAAGTTTATCCAGAAGCTGGTGCAGAACTGGTTCAGAGACTCTGTTTATAAAATTTGTGCGGACTGAGCGGAGCCTCTCCTCTGCTGGGACATTGTCCTCTGCTGGGACATTGCTCTGTAGAGCTCCTCTTCTTGGACCTGGAAGATAACCAGGAAAAAGACTTTTGTTTAATAACCAATAATCACTTAAACAGAGATCTCTTGCACAAAACTTAGAACCATACGTCCCCAACCAACTAGCGACTGTAATTCATTTGAATTTTAATGAATTGAAATCCCACTAAAAACACGCTGTCTGCCCATGACAGGCTACGGTGCAAGTGTGGTTACTTTTTCTCCATCTCTTAAGAGCCAGGCATACATCTGCACATTGTGTTCTATTCCATTCTGTTGTAGTCTAAAACTGGGATCTAAACTCTGACAGGTGGAGTGCTGCTGCAGGAGGGTGAAGCCTTTACCTGTCTGTTTCTGTCCTGGATTTGTCCAGACTTTCAGCTCTTGGTCCTGGGCCGTCAGAGTCACTCTGTCTTGGTCCACTGTCACGCTAACATATGTTGCTCTATACTTTGAGCAACAAGATGCACACTGAAAACAGATAGTAACGCGTCATTTTCAGACCTGCTGTAAAAATGGTACTTTCCTAATTGTGTTCTCAACATGCAGACTAAATTGTGATCATGATCATTTATAAGCTTTAGAGAAGTGTCTTGACTCACCTCAGGCTGTGTTGTAAAGCCCTGGGGTTCACAGAGGGCACTGTTACTTGGACCAAGGCTCTGATGACAGTCGGAAGAGATCCTGTTGTACTCAGCCTCTCCTTGTTGGGTGGGAGCTGTGAGGTCGATCCTGTAGGGGTAAACACAAAAAAGTTATGGATCAAATTTCAAAGCATTGGTGGTGAAAGCAAAATACACAGTATTAAATCTGAGACTTTTCCTTTTTGAATTTGGAATCCATAGCGAGCCTAAATGGCCAGACTCAAAACTAGTAGCCAACGCGACTGAGGTTGGGCAAAATATAGAAGTTTATCAAATGCAACACACGAAGAAGTCAGCAACTTCCTGGTCACACATATCAGATACTTTAAATATCAAAATCAAACTCAATCCGTGGCCTGTTTTTATATTTCCTATTTATGACTTTAGCATAAAAAAAATAAGTTGTTGGTTGTTTTTTGTGTTGTATCATAAATAAATAATAAAAAAAGAGAACAAAATCTTTTTCAGATGATTTGAAGATGGATTTCACTTCAGATTACGGTACATTTGTCGCAAATTACCCTCTAATAAAGATCTGACAGTGGGAAATAAAGATGAAATGTCCTGGCAGCTCCCATAGCTTGTTACTGGGTTTGCATAGTGATGGCATTAATTAAATGGCATGGGATTATAGTGTCCAGGAAGCATGTAAGTTAGGCTATGTAATAGTACCTACAAACTGCACGGTACTTCACGGTACACTGTGTTTGTTTACTGTCTAATAAGGAACATATTATTTCTAATATTATTTCTTGTTAAGTGCAATGTAAAATAAGTAGTGACTAAAACACCCACTGGTTGGTTTGGGTGCTCACACAGTGAAAGGTGGAACTCAAGGGATACATCGTTGAAGTAATACATTAACCTTCCTGTTTTTAGTACAATACTGACCTCAGAATCTTCAGTCTACAGTGTGGACTGTTCACAAGATCCTTCAGCAGCTTCACTCCTGAACGGTGCAGCTTGTTTCCACTCAGCTCCAGCTCCCTCAGATGGGAGGGGTTGGACTTCAGAGCTGACGCCAGAGAAGCACAGCTGATCTCTGACAACCAGCAGTCCCACAATCTGAATAAAGAATAAATGATGTAAATAAAAATGTATAATCCAATCAGATGTGTTCAGGTTTTAAATGTGTAGCTCAACATTACCATGTCCTAATCAATGCGCTTTTCTCTAAGATGAGTAGAGTGACTTTGTCATTGTGGATCATAAATAATGTCATCCTTTTATAGACATCGACCAAATATCATTCATACACCTATTCATGTCAACAAAGATCAATAACATGCTGCTGCTCTCAGTCCAGTCTGTAATTAGAGGATCAGTACTTAATTTAAACAGCTGCATGAGGAAATGTTCTTAAATATCTAATAAATAAAATGTTTTCTCATATGTGACTCAGATCCGATATTTTCATGTGTGAACAGCACAAATCACATGGAATCTGATATGGGCCATATTTTAGAAATAATGTGAACAGCCAAAAAAAAGAAAATCTGATCTGAACAATAAATCAGATTCTAGTGCTTGTGTTTGTGTGTGTTCAGAAGATCAGACATTATTTGTGAAAAACACATTGAAATCAACAAACCAAAGAAATACTATTACTTCTATTTTTACAGATGTGACCAAAAATGATAAACATAAATTAACTCTAACAACAAGTCTTTGTGACTGCAGACTAAATTTAGTTCAAGAAATATGAACAAAAGTAAATCTACGACTTTATGGGTGTATGTTCTTTATGAACATATGTTCTAGGTTCAATTGTTATTGAAACATATCAGATCTACAACAGTAACAGAGAGTCAGTGAACTGACCTCAGAGTCTCCAGTCTACAGTGTGGACTCTCAAGAAAACCACACAGCAGCTTCACTCCTGAATCCTGCAGCTTGTTGTCACTCAGCTCCAGCTCTCTCAGATGGGAGGGGTTGGACTTCAGAGCTGAGACCAGAGAAGAACAGCTGATCTCAGACAAGCTGCAGCGAATCAATCTGAATAAAGAATAAATGACATAACTTTAGATTTCCTGCTGGAATAAATAATTTGTCCAGAGCTGAAGAAGGTTGATGACGTCAATTTTAGAAAATTGAAACTTCAAAACACCGGATGCAGATTAAAAATACAAAAATGAAAAAAGTTTTTCCCAAATCAAGAGATTTTTAGGCATTTTATTAACTAATTCTATTAAAACTGTGCATATAGCTGTGGCATTTGGGAAAAAAATGCCCCCAGGTGCCAGAAAGCAAGATGAGCTTTTCATCACATTTTTACTATATGTATTGTTTGTGCTTCATAAATGTCTTGTGAGCACCCCAGACTTCACAGGCAGCTGCAGAGTGCGACCTATGCTCTGTATCTACAGCACTGACCTATGCCCTGTATCTACAGCATGGTCTTTAGTATTAGTTCAGGTCACGTGTGTGAAGATACAAACTTCATCCAAGTCTCTACAGCTGTTAAAGCCGACTGATCCAACTGTGATATAATATGCTTCTAAAAACATTTAAAGCAAGAAATAGAAATGTAGTCACAGAATCTTGATCTCAAAGGAAATTATCAATAACAGTGTTAATCTCAGTACAGAAGTAAAAAATGGTGTCTGACCCCAGAGTCTCCAGTTTACATTGTGGACTCTCCAGAAAATCACACAGCAGCTTCACTCCCGAATCCTGCAGGTTGTTCTTGCTCAGCTGCAGGACTCTCAGGTGGGAGGGGTTGTATTTCAGAGCTGAGACCAGATAATCACAGCTGATCTCTGTCAACCTGCAGTCACTCAATCTGGATAAAGAAAAAATAATGTAGATAAAAACCTGTTTATAATCCAATCAGATGTGTTCAGGTGTTAAATGTGTAGCTCAAAATGACTATGTCACTGTGTTATTGTGGATCATCAATGTCACCCTTCTACAGACTTCATCGAAATGTCAACACTATATTCATACACACAGCTGATCTCAGTGAAGCTTGTGCATCAATATCATATCAGACATGTTGGACTTGGACAAAAAAACTGTTGATTATTTTGTTTTTTATATGACTTTCTTCTTACTGCATTTTGTAGCTTAGTAGGTATACGTAATTAGAATGTCAAGGATTTGAATCAAATGTATACAAAAAATTACATAAGCAGTACTACAGTCAGTGAACTGACCTCAGAGTCACCAATCTACAGTTTCTACTCTCCAGTCCAGCAGACAGTTTCTTCACTCCTGTATCCTGCAGTTTGGAGTTTCCATTCATGTCCAGCTCTTTCAGATGTGAGGGGTTGGACATCAGAGCTGAGGCCACAACTTCACAGTGAGTCTCGGAGAGCCCACAGCCAGAAAGTCTGTCATGACACATATATTACAAAATGTGTTACGATGAAAACACTTTTTCTTCATGCATTTGATGACAAAACAGTGGCATGTTTTGATTTGTTCAGGCTACTGAATAACATTAATTTACCAATCATTCATTTGTTCATTTGATACTTTGGTGCTTTAGGTTTCTGTCAAATACATGACTGAATTGTGGAGAATCTAACTTATCTAACTATGTGCAGCATGTCCATATTGACAAAAGTTTTATATTTGTGTAGGCGATCTAAGCAGCTCGCTCAAGCGGGCGACCCGGTGGGTTTTAAGACATTTTATACATCCACACAACTTATATAAAATCCAGACCAAACCTCTAATTCAGACCTCCCTTTATTTGTCAAAATGTGTAGCCACACCAGGCGAGTAAGGGAGACATGCATCTAAGTTTTATGCTATATTTGAAAATCTAAATGGCTACACTGATTTATAATGTTAATGACATCTGGACTTACACAGCCTTTCTGCAGTTCCTCACAGCTGGAATCAGTATCTTTCATCCCTCTTCTGATGTGTTGTACTTCTTCAGGTCCAACTCATCCAGGACCTCCTCTGACATCTGCAGCTTGTAGGCCAGAGCTGAGCAGTGGATGTCAGAGAGTTCCTTCTCTGATCTATTCTCTGACTTCAGGAACTCTTGGATCTCCTGATGGACTGAGTGGTCGTTCATCTCCGCCAGACAGTGGAAGATGTTGATGCTTCTGTCAGGAGAGATATTGCTCATGTTCATCTTCTTCAGGTTATTGATGGCTCTCCGGATGCTTCTTGAACTGTTCTTTGTCTGACCCAGCAGGCTTCCTAAGAGTCTCTGGTTGGACTCCAGAGAGAGGCCATGAAGGAAGCGAACAAACAGGTCCAGATGGCCATTTTTACTTTTGAGGGATTTCTCCATTGCACTATACAGGAAGTCAACTAGGGATGAGTCATCACCATCCCAATCTTCCAGGAAAGCCTCCAGTACCTCTGTGTTCCTGTTGGTGTAACAGTGGAACATGTAGACTGCAGCCAGAAACTCCTGAATGCTCAGATGAACAAAGCAGTAGACTGTTTTCTGGAAGATCACACACTCTCTTTTGAAGATCTCTGTACAAACTCCTGAGTACACCGAGGCCTCTGTGACATCAAGACCACACTGCTCCAGGTCTTCTTGGTAGAACATGATGTTTCCTTTCTCCAGCTGTTCAAATGCCAGCCTCCCCAGCTTCAGAAGAACTTCCCTGTCAGCCTCCATCAGCTCCTGTTGCCTCTTATTATGTACCTCATCATACTTCTGCTTCTTCCTCTTTGTCTGAACCAACAGGAAGTGTGAGTACAGGTCAGTCAGGGTCTTGGGCAGCTCTCCTCTCTGGTCTGTAGTCAACATGTGGTCCAGAACTGTAGCAGTGATCCAAGAGAAGAGTGGGATTAGACACATGATGTGGAGGCTCCGCGAGGTCTTGATGTGTGAGATGATCCGGTTGGACCGATCTTCATCACTAAACCTCTTCCTGAAGTACTCCTCCTTCTGGACGTCAGTGAAGCCTCGTACTTCTGTTATCCTGTCGACACATTCAGGAGGGATCTGATTGGCTGCTGCAGGTCTGGAAGTTACCCAGACGAGAGCCGAGGGAAGCAGATTCCCTTTGATGAGGTTTGTCAACAGCACGTTGACTGAAGACTTCTGTGTGACGTCAGACACAACCTTCTTGTTCTTGAAATCCAGTGAAAGTCTGCTTTCATCCAGGCCATCAAAGATGAACAAAAGTTTACAGACAGCGAGCTGCTCTGCTGTGACCTTCTGTAATGTTGGATGGAAAACATGGAGCAGCCTGAGAAGACTGTACTGCTCATCTTTGATCAGGTTCAGCTCCCTGAACGAAAGCAGAACCACCAGACTGACATCTTGGTTGTTCGAGCCCTCTGCCCAGTCCAGAGTGAACTTCAGAACTGAGAAGGTTTTTCCAACGCCAGCAAAGCCGTTCGTCAGAACCACTCTGATGTGTCTCTGTTGGTCAGGTAAGGCTTTAAAGATCTTGTAGCACTTGATTGGAGTGTCATGGAGGGTCTCCATCTTGGAAGCTGTCTCAAGCTGCCTCACCTCATGTTGGGTATTAACCTTTTCACTCTGTCCCTCTGTGATGTAGAGCTCAGTGAAGATCCTGTTGAGGAGGGTTCCACTTCCGGTTTCATCAGTTCCTTCAGTCACACGTTCACACCTCCTCCTCAGACTGATCTTATGTTCATCTAAAACCTCCTGCAGACCATTATCTGCTGAAAGAGAAGAAAACGTGAGACTAAAGAAAAGGTTGTATTTAAATCAAGTAATACAAAAACTAAAGAAAGGGTTTTAAATGTTTTGATTTTTCAAAAAAATATTTCTTTGCTCTACTTCACAATAAATAAACCAAGAAGACGGATGTTCAGTCTTACTTTGTACAGTCTGACTGGCTGTTTGTAGTCCAGGTCTTGTTCTGGATCTTTCTCCACACTGGGGACAGGAGGAGTCTCCTGGTGAACCAGACTGGTCCGAGTATGAGGGAATGCAATGTCTGCAGAACCAGTGTCCACAGCTGGTAGAGACGGGATCCCTCAGTTCATCCTGACACAAAGCACAGCACGACGGCTGCTCCTCCATAGAAACATGACTCCTCTTCCTCTTTCTGTGGAGATGAACACATTAACATCATTATAACACATTACATGAGGCGTGACCCACCCAGCCTTTTCTTGTAGTATCCAACCAAAATGGATGTCTTCATGTGTACACTAGAGGGATTTACCGATACGAGTAGAAAAACTGTTTTAACGTTACTGATGCAACTACATCTGTGGTCCACGTACTGGTTCAATCTAAATGAACCAAGAACCGATCGATGGTCAATTAGGTTAGGTCTAAAGTAATCACTGCAGAAAGTCTTGGGATTCCCTGGTGTTTTATAAAATATATGTATTTGAAGGTAAGCAATGTCACTTTTATAGAATTGGCTTTTTTAATTTTTTAATGGAAAATAAATGAACTGTATCAGATTGCATCGAATTGCACTGAAATATTAAAATGCATCGTCACTGAATCGTATCGTAGCCCATCTAGATACGTCTCGGATCGTCTTAGAAGGAAGAGATGCACTCCCCTACTGTACATGTTATATCTTTAATAATGAACCTACATTAAACTTAAATTAGACTACTGTTAACTGTGGTACGCCCCTTTGCATTATAGGCAACTCTGACCTTAGTCTAAACAGCTACATAAAAGCAGCAACAAAATCAGCTTGTTATCATCTTACCAATACGACCAAACAGGGATTTTAAATACCGACCTACTGTGTAGCATATTAAGCCTTAAAGCTAAATATTTAGTCTGAACTGATACAAGGATTGTTCACGTCTCAGCAAGTTCATACTCTGCCGACATTGTTATTATTCATTCTTATTTTTACTGCCAAACTGATTTGTAATCCACATTACTGGTAGAACATGGGACATCTTAAAGGGTAACTTATAGGGGTATTAAAATTACATATATAAGTATGTTTCACTCTCGAGAGGGATGGTGACTTGTTACAGCAAGCAAAACGTGAGTGTAGTTATGTGAGCCGGTTTGTTGTGTTGGACCACTGAAAGCATAGCTTAGTGTTGTGTAAAAGATTTTCAGTATATGTATTTTTCTTAGACCCCCTAAAATCAAGAAGGCCTAGTGACCCCCCTGTGAAGCTTTGGTGATCCCTAGTGGGGGTCCCGACCCTCAGGTTGGGAACCAGCGGGTTAGAGGCAGTGAGAATTGTAGCCAATCACATTATTGCAAACTTTTCATGAGCTTTCTACAATTTTGGTGTCCTTTTACAATTCAATGTCTGTACATTTACTACACAAGTTCTTCAGACCCTTGTTGTTAACTGACGTTGGTACACTGGTGTGGGTTATCAAATGACAGTCCAACACTGAATTGTCTACGATCAGGTCAACTTACAGTAGAAACAGTCTCTCACCTTGTGTCTGAGGGTCCAGATTCATTACTGCACTGTCGAGGATCATCTTCTGGCAAGTCACTGCTGATTACTGAACACTCTGCTATGTCCTCCTCTTTGTCCAAATCATTCATTTTCTCGAGTCTGGAAAAGAAACAGAAGACACACAAAACCCAGTCAGTACTCCACTTCTAAAGTTAGTAGCTTATTATTTATTTTACATTCATTAAATTGTAATTATTATCCTGCTGTCACAATGACAGATGTTTAAAACCAGCGGTCAGAGTTCACAAAGCTGTGTGACCTACATTTTTTGTTGTTCAGAAGGGTTTCATAAAGCAACTCAGAGTTTCAAACTTCATGATTTTGAAACACAGACCTGAGACATAAAGCACTAATCACATTACATTTAAAAGCAAAACTGTGATGTTTGCAGCACATTTTGAACATATAATATGGATGAAAAACAGATTCAGAAGTGGAGATAATTCCACTTAAATTCTGTGTTAGCTTAGTTTATCCTGTGTGAGTAATTGAGTCTCCTGGTCATCAAAAATGCAACATCTGTTCACCCCTGGTTGGGAGGAGGGTCAGCTGACCTGCATGCTGACCAGTTCAGGCAGACCGACAACAACCCATGTTTGACTTGGTCCGATTTAGGTATAACATATCTTGGTGAAATTAGTTGCTGGACTTACAAAATAATGATTTGATTCTAATAGGTAAAACTGCAAGACTGCCCAGACTGCAAACACCCAGTCTGGTACATAGAATTATTTGGATAAAACTAAAATATTTGTATTTCCTGAAGAAAATGCATGTGATTGCCACATCTGCTGCTCCTACCAGTATCTACCTGCCCTGTATCTACAGCACTGACCTCTGACCGATCTAAACACCATTTGAAACGTGATATCAAGTATCCAAAGAATGTCTGTGCAGAGTTTAGTTGAATTTAATTAAAGACTTATGGAGATATTAGTTAATTTAGCATAATTTGACAAAAATAGAATGATGGAATTTGACCACAGGTTGCAGTGTGGCAAACATCACAATTCAGTGGATGTGGTGAAAAAAATTAAATGAAAAAATTTTTTTTTTTTATAAAGTTTTGGAATTTGAAACACTTAAAAACCACTCACATGGTGGTGCTATTGAATACATGTTTTAATATGTTTAGCACATCTCCATGGTGCACCTGAGTGCCAGAGTTAATGACTTTGGGATGTATAATATTTGAAATTTTGCTGAGATGATCAACATCTAAGTAAATTATTCATATATCAATAACTTGAATTATGTGTCTGTCTACAGGAACATAAGTGTGTGAGTGGATGTGGTCCAGAAAACATGCAGAAGAATAATGAACTTGATCAGTCTGAAGGTAGTGTTTAATGCAGAGAACTAGTGCCAGCAGACGGCAGCAGTGTAAAGGAACTGAACTAAAAACCCAACAGGAAGTTTTCATATTGTTCCATCAGCAGAGCTGTTTTCCTGGCCATGAGTTTAGTCTTTTGACTATTTTTACTGCTACTTTACTGTGTTTTCAGAGCCATGGCCTCTCCTGAGAGCCAGTTAACAAAAACACAACATAAATAATTAATAGTTGCTGCATTAAGTATAATTCATGTGCAGTTGTTGATGCTGTATATTCAAACATCCCCATGTTTGGGGTTTATATACTAATTTAATTGTCCTAAGACGTGCAATGCAATTAAGTGTGCAAAAGGGTTAGTCCAGAGTGAAGCGTCAGCAACTAAAATTTATTTAAAATGTCCTTCATCCCAAGTGCCATTAATGTTCTTAACTCTACACTCGACTGAGAGCTTAGCCACCGACACTGACATGTTTCTAAATGTGACCTTGTGCATGTGTTTCACTATCTCCTCATCTGTTTTTAAGATGTTGTATCTTGTTTTTAATAAGCATATAATAGAATATATAAGGATATATTATATTATATTTGTATATATTAATGATGTTGTACACAACATGGTCAATATTCTGTCAATAAATAAAAAAAATAGATAACAATACTGAGAGTCAGACTTCAGATCCACAGTAACTCATTAAACCCTGGAACCATTGTCATGAATGAATGTTACAAAGGTGAGAAACTGAAACTGATAGTGGTTGAGACTCATTCACTCACTATTTTTTCTTCTACACATACATATATACAACATATATTGCTCTGAAGCCTCCTGCTGGCTTTTGTAAAATTAGTCAACAGAAAAATAAATAAATCAACAGGTGAATTGTGAGATCAATAATAACAATAATAATAATAATAATAATAATAATAATAATAATAATAATGTTGGTTTAACACTCACGCTGTTTTATATAAAATGGAGTCCTACTTGACGGCACCAAACACTTTCACTTTCGCCCCTCCCCCCTCCAAATATCGGAAATCACTCACAGTTGTGAGGCAATAGATCGATTAATCTATCCATATATCACAACAGTGTGTGATTCGCTGTGTTAGTAAAACCATGGCAGGATAGTCATTTGACGCCGTTATATGTGATAAAGACAGTAACAAAGGGCTCAGCACCGCTCTGGTCTCACAGCCGACAGTAATAACAGTTACAGTAATAAAAGAGGAATATAATGGTAGTTCTACTGACCTTTTCGCTTTGGGCTGCTGAATTCACCCCTAAGGATCAATAAAGTGTTGGCATTTGGAAGATTGTCCGACTTATTGTTGATTACTGTCACCTGAAATGGCGGTACACCCTACAGAGTGCGGAAATAAAGTGTGTGTATGAGAGAGAGAGAGAGGGGGGGGAGAGAGAGAGAGAGAGAGCGACAAACAGACACACAGAGAGAGAGAGAGATATTTCCCTAAATGTTTTTGAACCAATCCTTTTATTTTATATATAAGTGAAGTTTGGGGCCCATAATTAAACAAAAGCTCTGGGACTCAAACCCAATTTAAAAAAGTCCATCTGGAGTAAAAACACACTGAAAGTAAATAATAAAGCCAATTAAATTAAAATTAAACTGAAATTAAATTAAATTGAGAGAAAGAGAGAGAGACAGAGAGAAAGACAGAGAGAGACAGAGAGAGAGACAGAGAGACAGAGAGAAAGACAGAGAGAGAGAGAACAGGTCTGATGAATTTTTATTCATTTATTTCTTTAATCAAAGGTGAGACTTAGATCAAATGTATTTTAATATGAAATAAAACATAAACATTAAGAGCAGGTTTCATAGAGCAAATATCCACACTGTAAGCTCTGGTATGGGACTGGAGAACTCTTGTTCCCAGTATTCTGTGAGCACACATTAACCCTCCTGTTGTGTCCGGGTCAAAACCCTACCGCCCTGTTGTGCTGCTGTGAACTATTATATACGATATTATTATTATATAACCCTGAACAGGAGCAGGAGAGTGAATCTCTACAACAGCACAGCTCATCAAACCTTCATTTCATCAAAGGTAATCTTTATTTTACAATTTAAACAAGGCTTTTCACAAAGAGAAAGGATTACAACAATCCACAGATAGAAAGACAGGAGAAAACAGAGCGAGTGCTTTATCGACTTTGTCCTTTTAAAAGTTATAATCAGCATTAATTTATTGACACATGGATTCACAGTGAAATATTTATGATTCAACTGATTTAAACTTTTTACATTTATTAGACAGACAAACTGATATTTGATAGAAATATTTCACTGTTTTATAACCTGGAGTGCACTTTTAGATCGACAGAGAGAAACAGTCGGAGAACAATACTTCCATGTGTCAACGATATAAAAGCTCAAAGTATGAAGGTTGAAGGCACATAAAGCATAAAGAATGGTTACTGGTCACCACGATATTCCCTGAATGTTTAAAGTAACTAATTTCTTCTCTAAACAGCATCAACTTAAACTTAAAAAAATGTCAAATATATATGCATGTTATTATTTAATAGCATCAGGGCAGATTTTTACCATAAATTTACTGTAAAACTTCCAATAAAAGCAGGGTCCCTAATATACCCAAGTCTCGTTTAAAAGCCTGGTGTGGCTACATGTTTTGACTTATAAACGCAGGTCTCTAATAGAGGCCTCGTCTGGATTTTATAGGAATGATCTCGATGTATAAAACTACTGGTGTATTCCAGGGTATACGGCATTGTGTATACCCTCTTCTAAATCCCCCTTGTTGCGCACCATTCAGTAGTATCTGCAAGCCAAATTGCCCATTTTCCCCTAGGATGGTGAAGCCATGACCCACGCTACTCTGTCTTGGCTAGTACTCGCTGCCTTTACTGATTAGATTGGTTAACTTTAGGCATGACGACAAATGAGCCAATCGGAGGCAGAGAAGGGCGGGTCATGCCGAGGTAAATATTGCTAAAGACAAATTTACTTTTACAAATTTACTTTAAATGATTTGCCTTTAGGATCTGTAATGAACCGGTAAGATGAAGCGAGCTATCCAAACAAAAACTTGACAATTACAAACGTCCTCGCGAATCAACATCAGCCAGCAGCTCAGCTAATGTTAGCGATGCTACACCGGTACAGTTAAGACCAACGTCGACGTCCAATATTTATATATATCTAACGAGTTATGCTAAAATAGTGTTTATTTCAATTTTACAACAGTGCACTTTTGAGTTTATCTGATTGGTTTTGATGTGTGGAAGAGAATGATTTGGGGTTTTTTTTAATCTAAGGTGAAATATGAACAAGGATACATTGTCAAATTCAGATCTGAAGTATTTTATTTAAATAAATGTTTGCCTCATCTATATTTTGCCTTCATGCAGGCTGCCTGTGTGACCAGTTTTACCTACAAACTGCTCCTGATCAAGTCATGTTCATTTTATAATAGTGGCACACTCCGGCCCACGCTATCTGTTGCAAATCAGCTGTTCAAATACAGTTTAAAAAAGAAACTACTGACTTGCTAAGTGAGAGAATAGGTGTCATTCCAGGAATAAGGAATAGTTCACTCAAAATGCATAGTAGTCTCTCACTAGTCTGTGGGCCAGTATTGGTTTAGTAATTTCATAATCCTTCCTCCCTGAGATCAAGCAGCAGAAATTATGTGACAATGAGCAAATGTGTCAATATGTACATGTTACACATCGTTAGATCAGTCATAGATTCTCCACAATTCAATCGTTCACTATATTTTACGAAAACTATCAACACCAAAGTAAAACATTAATTCATTTGGTAACAAGGTAAACAAAAGTGATGGGAAATAACCTCTGAAGCGATCATGTTAGTTGTCAAATTTGCTGAACAAAACTCAAGAGAAGCAGCAGTTTGAGTTTAGTTTAGTTTTTTACTAAAGGAATTAAACACCTGTCCCAAATAGAGGCCTGTCCCCAATAAAGGCAGGGGGAGTTCAGTGACTTAAGTAAATAAACGCCCAGGCTATTAGAAGTTTTACAGTACTCACCTACAGCTTCTAAAATGCTATTAACGTAATAGTAATAAAAAATGTGCACACAACAGAGAATTAAATGATCATTAAATGTGAATCACTCACTCAGAATTCACTTGTTTATGGAAATAAAACACTGGTGTCGTTGTTGTCAGTAATGTAAAGTATAATTTGATTTGTAGTAAATGGGTTAAATTCAGAAAAGGTGCCAATGTTGTCCTTTAATCTTAATTATTTTATAGCCTTTCCTTCTCTTTATACTGTGTTTGCAGTGTTTTGCTGTTTGCGGCGTGTTCGCCATTGTCGGCCACCGTAAGGAACCCACTGTATAAAAATGTTTCTTGTACTCTTAACAATTCACAAAAACAATTCACTATGACCACATGGTGGCGTAGAGCTGCATCTACAGCACACACCTGTACCCTGTATCTAAAGCACTGACCTCTGCTATGTATGTACAGCATTGACCTCTTCCCTGTATCTACAGCATTTACCAAAATATGTATTAAAATAAATAATAAAAGTCTCAGAGGTGTTTTAATTTTATTTCAAAGAGTCTGCTGCCTCCTGCATTTAGCCACTGCTGGTGCTATAGGAGCGCAAGCTGCCACCGCTTTCCAGTTTGGCTGCCACCTCCAGCACGCTGCTGTTGGCGTTTTCTGCCTAGACCCTGGGTAGGTTTAATACACATTTTAATTGTTTGTACAGTGTATTTTTTGTGTATCGTATTGTGCTCTCCTGTCCACTTGGACTCCAGAAACCCTGATCACAATAATGAAATGAAGATTGTTTTCCAATTTTGTTACAATTTCCCCACACGGTTTCTGGTAGCCTATTGGGCGGCTTAGGCACAAATATACATTTATTACAATAATAATATCAAGGTTACTATTAGGTCATACAGGATTAAACATTATTTAAAATAGGAACACATAATACAGGAAGGAGTGAATTTGTGATCAAGAAGAAACTTTACAACATGTTCTGGTTTACTGTCCAAAATGTGTTGCTGAGGGAAGGGAACTGATACTGAAGCTGAAAGAAATAAAGCTGAGCTTTGACTTATGAGATCTTTTACAAAGAAGTTCTGGGGAGAAGTGTTTTATCTCTATTCGCTTCAATATCTCAACTTAATAGAAATAATATAACTTTATTTGTCCTCATCTTCTGTTATTTATTAGTAGTATTAGTGAATGTATAGTCAGATTCCCGATACACACTCCATAACAGTTGGTGGCGCTAATGCTCCATAACGTTGTTTGCCAGCCGCCATTAAACACCACGAAGAAGAAGCACAGTAACAAGGTGTCCCGTTGGAAACAGACCAATTTTTTTTTTGACGGAGTTTGTGTGATTGTGTGAAAATGTGTAAAGTCCAAATGCTGAGAGCGTTGGTGAAGCAGCGACTAACTGCGGCTGCTGAAGAGATATTTGGGCTGTTTGAAAGAACGATAGCAGAGTACGAGGAGGAACTTTGTCGTTCAAAAGAGGAGAACGAGCGACAACGGAAACTACTGGACGCTGTTTTCAACCCTCAACTTCGGTTACACAGAGCAGGTTGGTTCACTGTACTGCTTCTTCTCTCACTGTTCACACTCTGAGCTGGAAGTAGTATTCACAGCCTTTACTGCAGTAACAGGATGATCAGCACAATGGACTCAAAGGAAAAGTAGTGATAGTGCAGGAACAGGTTGGTTCCCTGTACTGCTTCTTCTCTCACTGTTCATTATTATATTTTTATTTAAAATACTGGTTACACCATCTGACCATGTTGCTTTTACAGAAGAAACTGGCACTACAAATCAAGCATGACAGTCAACAAGGTCAATTGAACTTGTGCTTTTTATTATTTTCAATGAAGAAAAAACATCAACAACAAGAATTGGGTGTTTTCTATTGTTAATTAATTTATTCACAACAGAAAACTCTTGTGTGGATTGTAACCTGCCCGGCTGCCCCCGAAGTGGAACACCTGAATTTCACTGCTGAGCTTACAGCCATAGTTCTCAGAGAAGTCTACATGAATAATAATAATAATAATAATACATTTTATTTAAAAAGCGCTTTTCTGAATACTCAGACACTGTACAATATAATATAAGAAGAATACAAGAACATCAATCAGTAAAACAATATAAAACAGTACATTACATACGTTAAAAACACATTAGACTGAGATAGATTTTAAAAGCCATTTTAACAAGGTGAGTTTGTGTCAGTGATTTGAATGTTGGAGGGTCGGTACAGTCACGGATGGGTTTGGGGAGAGAGTTCCAGAGGGAGGGGGCAGCTACAGAGAACGCTCTGTTGCCCCAGGTTCGGTGCTTGGTCCGGGGTGGAGGAGTCAGGATGTTGGCGTCAGATGAGCGGAGGCTACAGGATGGATTGTGGCGGTGGAGCAGGTCAGTGAGGTAGGAAGGAGCCTGGTTATGGAGGGCTTTGTGTGTAAGGAGGAGGATTTTGAACTGAATAAGCTGTAGAACTGGGAGCCAGTGGAGGTTCTGGAGGACGGGAGTGAGGTGAGCATACGTGCTGCAGAGTTTTGGATGTACTGTAGCTTATTCATAGTTTTGGATGGTGTGCCGTAGAGGATGCTGTTGCAGTAGTCGGCAATGTTCTTGAGATGAAAGAAGGCAGTTCTGGTGATTTGGTTTATGTGATATATGAATGCAGATTTCATCCTCTAGTAGTGTTTCTTTCAGCTCTCTGAATGTTTTGACCTGGTGGAGCCAGTTGAATTGGTGCTTAGCTAGAGAGTTTAGCTTCTTGTTAGGCAAAGCCGGCAGATCATCACACTTTCCACTTTGTGTGACTTTTGCAAAGTTACCAAAGGTTTTACCTTCTTCAGATGTGACTACCCTGGACCACTGCTGCCATGTTAGAACAGTATCCTCCAGAGGTCCTTCACACTCAATCTCATTGTTTTTCATTTTGCTCTTTTCTGACCATTTTCTTTGTTTTCTTTTGCCAATCCAGTTTCCTCTGTATCTGTTTTGTCTTTTGTTTTGCTCCCTGGAGTTCCCGTTTAACTTTGCGAAGTTCAGACCTCAGCCTTTCCCTCTCCTCCAGCACTGAGCTATAGTATTTGTTCTTTCTTTCCTTCCCTTTCTTTAGTAGTAGTAGTTGAGAATGCTTGCGGGCCCTCTACAACTGGCTGCTCATAGTCATGATCGTCCAGATGATTATGCATGGGCTCAGGATTTTCAAGATGCTGAATTTGCTCATCTGATGTGTCCATAGATGGTGGGGTTAAGTTGAGAACATCAGCAAGCACCCTTTTCTGTTCTCTGTGGTCTCGCTGATACTGATACTGGCTGCAAACTGTGTTTCTGAACGGAGGCGCAGCTCAATGAGACACAGAGTGACGAGACACGCCTCCGCTCAGGAAATCCATTCCACAGTTTGCAGCCAGCTAGCAGGATAGCATTGGGCAGCATTGTGGCTCGCCAACATTTCCGCTGTGTGAAAATACTTTACACTGGAAACACCGCAGAGCAAGACAGTGTGGCATCCGAAGGCCTATACATTTAAGTTACAGTTTGGTATAAGTTCAACTGATATTTTGTTAACATATGTAGTGTTAGTAAGACATGAGGTTCAACGTCGTAATTCTTACTAGGCAGTGTTTAGGTTAGGGGCCTCTCAATGACCTCTGACCTCTGCCTTGAAAACCCCCATCTCCCCTTATTTCAGTACATCTGATAGCTAAACCAGATGTTTCTTTCCATTTTTGGAGTAAACAACAGGCCTATATAAACCTATTTTCGATGCAAAATAGACAGAGTTATTCATTTGGCAGGATGCTCTCCAAGCTCCCGGGGCTTGAAATGATGCTGTACCTTTTTGTAATAAACCTTTATATACAATTAAGATGGTGTCAGCGGACTTCTCTTCAACACATCTTCACATCGTCGCTACTTAATATACAACAACAGCAAAATGCAATGTTTGCAAAGCCATAATTCAGAGACGCGAAAGCTCCCTCGCATCGTACAACACTACTAACGCAATCAAACACTTCTGGAGTCATTCCAAAAACAAGTTAAACTCCAGGCAGACAACGTGTGTGTGTGTGTGTGTGTGTGTGTGTGTGTGTGTGTGTGTGTGTGTGTGTGTGTGTGTGTGTGTGTGTGTGTGTAAGATGTTTACAGTTATTGCACGTTTCTTATATTTCAGATAATTTACATTTTAAAACCTTGATTTATTGATACTACAAGAGCCAGTGTACTTGATTTGTGCTGTTCAGATACACACTGTTTTATTGATAGTGTGTGTGTGTTAGATGTTTACACTTATTGCACTTTTCTTATATTTCAAGACTCGAATATTTGACATTTTGAGAATTTAATAAATATTGACATGACAATCAATTTGAAACCCTTACAGTTGTATATTTGTTTTCAGAATGGGATTTTTCCTGTTTTTCTGACCTTTATACTTACCTCAAGTTGCCTTTTGGGACATACATGCATACATACGTACATATCATACTTGCCTGTTGAGAGGAATTTATTTGAGCCTCATATAAAATCAACAATAATGATAATATTAATATTAATATTAAAGCAAACACAGCTCTGGTATCTGTATCGGCCGATATCCAAATTCAGGTATCGGGATTGGATCGGAAGTGTAAAAATGTGGATCGGTGCATCCCTAGTCTGTCAGTGTGAGTGTGAGTGTGTGTGTGTGTGTGTGTGTACACAACCACCTTTCTTGCCTTTTGGCAAGGTAAATGGCCCTTGCTGCAGGATCTGCATTGACTCATGCTCTGTGACGAGCCACTTTTTCTTTGCTTGATAATGGCATCTATTGGGGGAGAGAGGCTCTTATTATTTTACAATAATTATGAAACAATAGAAAGTTAATAAATGTAATTTTACGGATCAAACATTTATCATATTGGAGTTTCAAGTCTTTTTAAAGCTGCTGTTCAATTTCAACATTGTCACTGTTCACCCACTGCTGCTTCATTATGAAATTGCATATATTATATATAGCTTAAAGTTGCAAGTGAATGGAATACAAATATGTATTAATTATGTATTTAATATGTATTAAAGCTAAACATTTAAAAAATATTAAAGTCATGCAAAATAATGATTTTATCTTAACCTTCCATAGCTTTGATAATGAAGTTGTGGATAAATCGCCCCTTTTTTCTAAGAACAACACTTAACACTTAAAAATAGTTCCACATGGTAAGTTAGTTCACATTAAATCTGTAATCAGCATCAAAAATTCTCATATTTGACTAAATCAGCCTCTAACCAAAAGGAATATAATAAAAGTAACTGGTTACACCATTTGACTTTTCAATTCAAATTTAAATTTAACAGGCATTATGATGGACACCTATGTAAGCACATGGCCTTGATGTGAAGATTTCAAACAAATTATTTAGATAAATACTTATTTTTACAGTTATTATGAATTATAAATGGTTTCCTAAGGTCATACCATTTGACATGTAACTCTAAGCACACCTGACCATACCCTAAAAATGTCAAATTGTCAAGATTTCAAAGAGAGCTACTAACCTTGGCATGCAGCAGTTAGGCTAATCAGGGGTCCTTCTTTGTGATATCATTTCCTGCCACATGGTCTTCTTAAACAAATGAACAAAATGGCTACTTGAATGTTGGTTACACCGCCTTGACAATTTAGGAAGTTGACTTGACAGACCCAACTCCCCAAATTAGTTATAATGTTTAGAACTATGGAAATTCCATTTACTTTATTCATTGTTAAACAACACAAATGTAGGAATATGCCAAACTACTTGATAATGTGTTTTATTGAGAATTTCAACTTTTTTGAACAAGTTTAAGTATTTGGTACAAAGTTTTTCTGGTTACACCACATTGACATTTTTACCATGATCCCCTGAATATTCTCTCAAAATTGATACATTTTAGACTAGGTCTTCAAAAAGAGAATGTATTAAAGTAATTTGTGAGTTTATTTTCAAATTTTAACCTTTTTAAATTTAACTAAACACAAAAACAATTGCGCCACGTCATTGACCCATTATCATTCTTCACATAGATGACCTGTGAACAGCTCCTGGTGCTGTGCGTCACTGTGTGAGTGTGGAGGCAGTACGGCTGTCAGAATTGGACAAAAATAACTGTTGATTATGCTTTCCAATAAACCCACATATAATTGTTCTATTCGACTATCTATTGCACATATGGACGTTATATAATAATGTGCATTATATCCAGATAAGGCAAGTCAGTACGAGAGACGTAATGTCTCATAGGTATGATTATTTTCACTTCAACATGTCAAAAATAATAGTTATTATTAATAATAACTATTTTATCTTTTGATTCTCTTGAAACTAAATAATAATCCGTGGAACCTGCGTGCACAAAGCTTCAGTCTTTAACCTATTTAATTGTTCAATACTTATTCATTCAGTACAGTCCAGTACAGAAGCCTACACTTTTCGAATATTCTTACTAATTTAATTAATTTATAATATATAATATTAATACTGTACCACATTCACTGCTCCAATTCCCTGCAGATCATATCGTATGTACTTTTTTTGACTGGAGATATTTAAATATGTTCGACTAAAAATACTACTTTAGATTTAGTAGTGAACCAATGAAGAAACTTTAGGTCATGTTCCCATTTATTTGTCCGAAGTAGTCGACTCCTACATCGGTAAACGGGAACAAATCTGGTAGAATCCTTTCGACCGGCATGTTGACCCTTTACTGTCCTCCAATTATCCCTTGCTGTGGCAGCAGGCCGCACCGTTAAAAGTTAAAGAATCTTCTGCCTTGTTCAGAAGAAACTCTGATCCTTTTAATCATTGCTTACTTTCCAGGAAGTCTTCTGCTGATAATCCTCGTGAGACCTTGTCAACAGATTTCAACTTGGTTCCAATGTGTTTCCACTGAGTGACGTCTTCAGCCTGATGATGATCCCACAGTTATCCAGTCTGGATTCAACAGAAAGTGGTGGTTTTCCATGATGTCTATTTTTGTGTTTACTGTGTCCTGCAGACGTCCAGCAGCTGTCGGTGATTAAAGAAGAGGTTCCTCCTGAGCAGCAGCAGGAGCGGAGAACCACTCTGGACCAGGAGGACCCAGAGCCCCCACATATTAAAGAGGAACAGGAGGAAGTCAGGACCAGTCAGGAGGGAGAGCAGCTTCAAGGGTTCACATTCACTCCTGTCCCTGTGAAGAGTGAAGATGATGATGATGAAGAGAAACCTCAGTCCTCACAGCTTCCTCAAAGACAAACTGAACAGATGAGATCAGATGATGGAGAGGACTGTGGAGGACCAGAACCAGCCAGAAACTCAGATTCAGATGAACATTCACAACCTGATACGGATGGTAAGACTGAAGACTCTTCTGAATCTGAGACTGATGATAGCGACAATGATTTTAAAGACACCAGGGAACCTCAGCCAGGTGATGTTTCCAATATAAAGCCCTTGAGCTGTTCAGTTTGTAAGAAATGTTTTTCAAGGAGACAAGGTTTACGTAGACACCTGAGAACTCACACAGGAGAGAAACCGTTTAGCTGCTCAGTGTGTGATAAAAGCTATGGAGAAAAAAGTACTCTGCAGTATCACATGAGAACTCACACAGGAGATAAACCATTCAGCTGCTCAGTTTGCGATAAAAGCTTTGGACAAAAGAATACTCTGCAGACACATATGAGAAGTCATACTGGTGAGAAACCATTCAGCTGCTCAGTGTGTGATAAAAGCTTCAGTCTAAAGACTAATCTTCAGTTACACATGAGAACTCACACAGGTGACAAACCATTCAGCTGCTCAGTGTGTGATAAAAGCTTTAGTCGTAAGAGTCATCTGCAGAGACACATGCAAAGTCATATTGGGGAGAAACCATTCAGCTGCTCAGTGTGTGATAAAAGCTTTAGTCGTAAGAGTCATCTGCAGAGACACATGCAAAGTCATATTGGTGAGAAACCATTTAGCTGCTCAGTGTGCGATAAAAGGTTTGGACAAAAGAGTAATCTGCAGTTGCACATGAGAACTCATACAGGTGAGAAACCATTCAGCTGCTCAGTGTGCGATAAAAGCTTTGGACAAAAGAGTTCTCTGCAGTTGCACATGAGAACTCACACAGGTGAGAAACCTTTCAGCTGCTCAGTGTGTCATAAAAGCTTCCATTTAAAGCGTATTCTGCAGTTACACATGAGAACTCACACTGGTGAGAAACCATTCAGCTGCTCAGTGTGCGATAAAAGCTTTGGACAAAAGAGTACTCTGCAGTTGCACATGAGAACTCACACTGGTGAGAAACCTTTCAGCTGCTCAGTGTGTGATAAAAGTTTCAGTCAAAAGAGTGCTCTGCAGACACATATGAGAACTCATACTGGTAAGAAACCTTTTAGCTGCTCTGTGTGCCATCAAAACTTCATTAAAAAGAGTTCTCTAGAGGACCACATGACAACTCACACATCCAGCTCAGTCTGCAGTTAAAGCTACTTTATTAAAAGTACTATGCAGAGACACATGAGAACTCACACAAGAGAGCAGCAGGTAATTAAGAATCCTGTCCTGTGACATTAGAACAACAGTGTCTGGCGGCTAGGTCTGTAACTATTCTGAATCAGAGTGAGTGATAACAATGTGACAATGGAAAACAACTTTCCCCTGCCTGGCTTACGGGATCACTGGCAACTCAGCAAGAGTTTACCCATTTCTCCAGGAACCACTACACCACTGAACATAGTGGGCATAAATAGCTGCGCACAGTTTAACTGTGTTCATTAAGCACTGGACTGCTTAACTTTTTAAAATGTAATGTATTGATCTAGTTTTATTGTTGTGATTTTGTTATGGTTTATGTTAGGTTACTGTGTTACTCATGTTCTACACTGCTATGGTGATCTTAGTTAAATGTTATGTTCCACACAGAAACAGTCTTTGTACAACAAACTGTTTTTAACTTGCCACTTTTCATATAAGATCACCTCGGCCTTTAACACAACCACACACAGCAGAGAGGACCTTTAAAACAATGCTTTGTCTCTGCTGAACAAGCTCAACATACAGTGCAACACACACTCTGTTTTTGTTATTTAGTTTAGTGCATTGTAGTTTGATCATATTGTCTGTTTATACTTTATCTTTTTAATAAATGCTATCAAATATACATGCTGGTTTATTAAATATTCCACAAACGTGAAGGATACCAAACTATGTTGAGCTACAAATCCTTCAGCTGACTTAATGTGAACATGATGAACTTAGTTATAGTTATTGAATAAATAAATTAGTGTTTCAGATTAATTGTTTTGTATATTCTATGAGTCTGAGTATCACTCAGTTAATAGTTTTCCTTTAAGGGTGGTGTCCCGAGGAACTTCAAATATAATACGTATAAGGATATTGATTACTGTTATTTTTTATTTTCTTTGATCATTTTGATAGCCAGAATTAATTGATTGCTCCTACAAAGTTTTATGACCCTTTAAATCATTGTAATTACAACAATGTACAAAACTTATTTTTTGTTTTTGGTGAATATTTTTTATTCTTTGCCTGTTTAATCAGTAGAATGATCATTGTTGTATTTTCTGTACTTTATTTTGTCTTTGTTTTATCGATCCATCGAGTCCACATTGTAACTTACAGGAAACATTATAAAACATAATCATTAATGTCAGTTTATGGGTTCATGTGTCCTAAAGTTTCAGGTTGCAATCAATAAACTTTATTTTCATAAAAGGACCTTTGTTTCGTTTCCATATTGTTGCTTCAAACGGCATTAAACATTCTGCGTTTCTACATAAAATCTGATCTATCATAGATGTTTGTATACGTTTATAACACTGAGAGTTATATAAGAAACTGAAACTGTGGCAGTCTGTAAATGTTAATCTGATCTTTCCTCACAGTAAGTCAACACAGACTGTAGTTGCTGGTTTCTGACACTAGAGGGCAGAACATCAACATCAACACACAGTATTTGCATTTCCTGAAGAAAATGTTTGCTATTGCTGCATCTGCTGTTGCCACTGTTACAGCTGTTCACCGGCCCAGTTTCTGAAAGAGTCCCAGCACAAAGTGTTTGTGATTCACGTCTAAAGATAAAACCCAAAACCTGTGGTAATTGAATACTGTGTTCAAGAGATATGGTGAGGTTATATTAATGGCCAAAAGGTGGAACTATTGTAGGTAGAATTTTATGAATGTTACACACACGTGCAATGTGAGTTTATGTACAACATGCAATAAGTAAAACACAAAGCTACAAGTTTGGTGAAGATTGGATAAAATATGTGCCTAAAAAGGCGTGAATGGGCGTGGCCTATATCAGTAAAATTAGCATCAACCAAGGAACCCACTGTATAAAAATGTTTTCTTCTCTCCTAACTACTACTCTAACAATTCATAAAAAATTAATAACGACCACATGGTGGTGTAGAGCTGCATCTACAGCACACACCTATGCCCTGTATCTAAAGCCCTGACGTCTGCTATGTATGTACAGCATTGATCTCTTCCCTGTATCTACAGATTTACCAAAATATGATAAATAATAACAGCCTCAGAGGTGTTTTAACTTCATTTCAAAGAGTCTGCTGCCTCCTGCATTTAGCCACTGCTGGTGCTATAGGAGCGCAAGCTGCCCCCGCTTTCCAGTTTGGCTGCCACCTCTAGCACGCTGCTGTTGGCGTTTCCTGCCTAGACCCTGGGTAGGTTTAGTACACATTTTAATTGTATGTACAGTGTATTTTTTGTGTATCGTATTGTGCTCTCCTGTCCACTTGGACTCCAGAAACCCTGATCACAATAATGAAATGAAGACTGTTTTCCAATTTTGTTACAATTTCCCCACACGGTTTCTGGTAGCCTATTGGGCGGCTTAGGCACAAATATACATTTATTACAATAATAATATCAAGGTTACTATTAGGTCATACAGGATTAAACATTATTTGAAATAGGAAAACATAATACAGGAAGGAGTGAATTTGTGATCAAGAAGAAACTTTACAACATGTTCTGGTTTACTGTCCAAAATGTGTTGCTGAGGGAAGGGAACTGATACTGAAGCTGAAAGAAATAAAGCTGAGCTTTGACTTATGAGATCTTCTACAAAGAAGTTCTGGGGAGAAGTGTTATCTCTATTCGCTTCAATATCTCAACTTAATAGAAATAATATAACTTTATTTGTCCTCATCTTCTGTTATTTATTAGTAGTATTAGTGAATGTATAGTCAGATTCCCGATACACACTCCATAACAGTTGGTGGCGCTAATGCTCCATAACGTTGTTTGCCAGCCGCCATTAAACACCACGAAGGATCACCACCATGTACAGCACTGTCCTTCCTCGGTAGACTTGTTTTTGGAGGAACCTGGAACCGGAACTGTGAGAGACGCTGAGAGAAGCGGAGTTGGCACACATGCTCGTGTTCTACGCCTGCTGCCGCATAACAAATTCGAGACACTTTTTCTTCTACTTTTTTAAATTATTTTTTATTTTTTATTTTTTTTTATTAATAGTAGGGCTAGTATTATTAGAATTAGATTAGGGTTGGGAAGGAGGGATTTAAGAGGCCCATGGCTTCAGGGAAGGGGGATGAGGGTGGTGGATGGCAGACGGTGGTAAAGGAAAAGAGGGGGCATCGAGTGAAAGACCTGAAATGTCAGGAGATGAAGGAAATAAGGTTAGGAAAACTGGAAATACTGAAGAGTTTGTCGTGCTGTTTAAAGTTAAGGGAACTAATCAAGGAGATGCAGGATTTAGAGCAGTGAATCCATTAAAAGTTACCAGTGCTTTGGAGAGTCAGATAGGCAAAGAATTTCAGGCCAAGATATTGTTTAATGGAATGTTAAGAGTTTGTTGTAAAAACAGGAAACAGTATAATGATGCCAGAGGTGTGGGAAAGCTGGTGGTCAAGGTGGAGGCATTGATCCCTAGAGGAAGCCAGCAAGGAATCAAGGGAGTGGTGTATGGAGTGTTTGCTGGCTTATCTGAGAAGGAAATCTTAGAAAACATTAAGGGGGCCCAGGTAACTGATGTGATCAGATTTAAGCGTAGGGATGGAGCCGGGGATCCGCCGGTCCTGTTGACGTTTAAAGATAGTGTACTGCCACAGAGAGTGTTTCTTGGGAGTATGGCGTATTATGTGAGAGAGTACATTAAACCACCATTGCGCTGCTATAACTGTCAGAGGTTTGGACATGTTGCTGGGGCTTCTCGGGGTAAAAGAAGGTGTGCAAAGTGCGGTGGAGATCATATAATACAAAGTTGCAAGGCAGAGGCTCCTAAGTGCCCTAACTGTGAGGGGGATCATGGGGCAGGGTTTCACGGGTGTGAGCGATTTGTTCAGGCTAAGCGGGTGCAGGATGTGAGGGAGCTGAACAAGGTGTCGTATGCAGAGGCAGTTCAAAGAGTGGATAGAGAATGTGGAAAAGGGATATCTGGTACTAGAGCAGTGTCAGGAAGCCAGGTCAATGCTCCAAACTTGCAGTCGGACCTACATTCTGATATGTTGAATCTTACAAAGGAGTCATTTCTGTCTTTTGTGTCTGATGTGTTGGTAGGAGCTAAGAAAGCAGCGAACCGCTCAGATATTATTAGGTTAGTGGTGGTGGCAGCTGAAAGGTTCCTCGGTATAACGCAGTTGCCAGAAGAGCTACATCAATACATGAAGGCGAGTCAACCTATGGATAGGTCACAGTTGGTGAGGGTTAGCAGTATGGAGGATGTTGGTGAAGTGGATGAGGTGGATCCTCATTAGCATCTTAATGTGGCATATTCTTCAATGGAATGCCAGGAGTCTAATAGGAAATGGTCAGGAGTTAAAAAGGTTTGTTGATGAATTTAAAGAAGCTCCAGAATTGATATGTATTCAAGAGACTTGGTTAAAGCCTTCTCTAGATTTTGTAATTCCAGGGTATGAATATTTGAGAATAGATAGGTCTGATAGATCAAGTGGGGGTTGTGCAACCTTTGTTAAGATTGGGCTGCAGTACAGGAGAATTGATATTAATTCCAATCTTGCGTGTTTAGCTGTGGAGATTTGGAGCAGTCAAAATTCTATTACTGTGCTAAATTATTATAACCCTTGTCAACCTTTGGTATTGTCAGATTTTGATGAGATAATGGAGAAGGTAAGGTGTCCTGTTATATGGATTGGAGATTTTAATGCACATAATCCTTTATGGGGTAGTGATCATAGGGATAAAAATGGTGTTATTGTAGAAGAATTTATAGATAAATATGAGTTAGTAGTGTTAAATGATGGAAGGCCAACTAGATATCATATTGTCAGAAATACCTGCAGTCATATAGATTTGTCAATCACTTCGTCAAACTTAGCTAGAGTTGGTGAATGGGATGTTATAGACTCGTATACATTGGGTAGTGATCATTATCCTTTTTTTATGTAGATTTGGTAGGGAATTGAGGAGAGAAGTGGAAAAGAAAGCCCCTAGATATAACTTTTCTCAGGCTAAATGGGATAAATTTCAGGAGAGGGTTCAGAGCTTAGTAGGAGAGATTGATAGCGAGGGTACTGTAGATAATTGGAATACATCCATTAGTCTTATGATACATGAGGCCGCTTTCAGTACTATTCCTCTGAAGCAGGAACCTAGGACTCGTATGCTGGTTCCTTGGTGGAATAAGGAGTGTGATCAAGCTGTAGGGAGTAGGAATAGAGAATATAGAAGACTAAGAAAGTTTCCAATGTTGGTTAATGTAATGGAGTACAAGCGGCTAAGGGCAGTAGCAAGAAGAGTTATAAAGGATGCAAAGAGGAATAGTTGGAGGAAGTTTTGTGGTACGCTAGGCCCTGAGACTCCTGTAAGGCATTTGTGGTCTGCAATACGTAGAATGTCAGGGGTATATAAAAGAAGATTGATACCAGTGTTACAGAAGGGTGAGACAGTAGCAGTTTCCAATAAGGAAAAAGCAGACATGTTTGTTGATCGTTTTCAAGCAGTGCATAGATCAGAGAGAATGGGGGCTGAGAGGTGTAGGAAGAGAACTGAGCTGATGGCAGTTAATCAGTGGAAGTTGGAAAGGAATTTAGAAAACCATAATCCTATAAATCTGTTTTTTACTATAAAAGAGTTGAAGGATGCAATTATGTCTGGGGCTAATACTACCCCGGGGAGAGATAGGTTGTCTTATGAGTTTTTTAAACATCTGGATGATATTGTACTTGATGAAATATTAGCTTTGTTTAATACGGTGTGGGCAGAGGGTTATTTGCCCAAGGAATGGAAACATGCAGTTGTGGTCCCTATTTTAAAGCCAGGCAAAAGTCCATCTGACCCTAGTTCATATCGCCCTATAGCACTCACAGCAGTGCTTTGTAAAGTAATGGAGAAGATGGTAACCAACAGACTAGTGTGCTTCATAGAAACTAGAGGACTCTTTGTTGATGTCCAGAATGGCTTTAGGAAGGGAAGGTCGACAATGGAATCAGTGCTAGTTTTGGATCAGGATATCAAAAGGGCATTTAGAAATAAGGAAATAGTAGTGAGTGTATTCCTGGATATTGAGAAGGCATATGATTCTTTGTGGAAGGAGGGATTAATGATTAAAATATTTGACTTGGGAGTAAGGGGACGAATGTTTAATTGGATTATGGATTTTTTAATGAAAAGAACAATACAAGTAATGGTTGGTTGTGTCTGTTCAAATACTGTAGAAATAGAGAACGGAACCCAGGAAGTGTTATCAGTCCAGTTTTATTTAATATAATGATTAATGATATCTTTGGCAAAATAGAGAGAGGATTTGGGTTATCTCTATTTGCAGATGATGGGGCCATCTGGAAAAGAGGGCGTAATGTAGAGTTTGTTTTAAAACAGATTCAAAGAGTATTATTGTCTATAGAGGAATGGGGGAACACATGGGGCTTCAAATTTTCTGCATCTAAGACTAAATATGTTGTATTTGGTTTTAAAAGAAAGTTACCTAATAAAGGGCTGTATATGTATGGGTCTTTATTGGAGAAGGTAAAGGTTTTTAAATTTTTGGGTGTATGGTTTGAAGAGCGTATGACTTGGGCTGTGCATGTAGATAAAATTGTGCTGAAATGTGGAAAAGTTCTAAATGTTATGAGAAGTCTGGTTGGGTGTGAGTGGGGGGCTGAGAGGGAGACGATGTTGGTAATTTTTCAGGCCTTGATCAGATCTGCTCTTGACTATGGGAGTTTTGTGTATGGATCTGCTTCTAAAACTGTTCTGGATAAGTTAGATGTGGTGCATGCAAAGGCATTGAGGCTTTGTTGTGGGGCCTTTAGAACTTCCCCAGTCCCTGCCGTGCTTGTTGAAATGGGAGAAATGCCCTTATGGTTAAGGTGCATTAAGTTAGGGTTACAGTACTGGGTTAAACTTAGAGGGTGTAGTCACACCTTTCCAGCAAGGTGTCTGTTACAAGAGATAGTAGAGAATAAATATAATATTTTTTTTGTCACTGTAAACCAGTGGGCTAAGAAGCTGGGCTTGGAACAGGGAGGTAATGTAGAGCACACAAGATGGTTACCTATGCCTTATTGGGTGATGCCTGAATTGAATATTGAGCTTTCTTTTCTTCAAGAAAAAGATAACAGGAAAGTGACTCCAAGAATAGTGGAACATCTTAATTCAATCAGTGAGAGTACTTTAATTATTTTTACAGATGGATCTAGAGATCCGGTTAGTGGGAGAGCCGGCTTTGGGGTGTATGTGGAGCAGATTGGGTTGAAGATTGGTCGACGTATTTCTAATGGAAGCTCTGTTTTCACTACTGAGTTAATGGCAGTTCTATGGGCTTTATGGTGGATTGAGGAAGCCAGACCTAAAGAAGTCACTATCTGCTCTGATTCTGCAGCTGCACTAGAAACTTTAAGAGCAGGAAAAACTACAGCTCGTCCTGACATTATGAATGACATTTTGAATGTGGTTTTTAGAATTGGGTTTGCTTGCAGCGTTACTTTTTGCTGGGTTCCAGGGCACGCTGGGGTTAGGGGGAATGAGCAGGTGGACCACATCGCAAAGGAAAGCTTAAGAAGAGAAGTAGATGTTCATTTATCCATGGGGCGAGTGGAATTAAGAGAAATAATCAAAGCGGGCTTAACAAAAGAATGGCAGAGAGGGTGGCAAAGGGAAGCCAGGGGTAGACACTTCTTTTCTATAAATCCTAAAGTTAGGAAAATATGTTTATGTGATTCTCTGTCTCGTAGGGATTCAGTGAAACTCTGTAGGTTGAGGTTGGGTCATTGTGGGTTAAATGATTCTTTGTGCATTGTAGGAAAACATGTTTCTTGATTGTGTGAATGTGGGATCCTTGAAACAGTAAGGCATGTTTTCCTAGAATGTAGAAAGTATAGGGAAGAGAGAAAGGTATTATTTGTTAGATTGACAGGACTTGGAGTTGAGGCTTTTTCTATTGCATCTTTGTTTGGACACAGTGAGAAATACAGAACCGGTGCAGTTCTGCAGTTTCTGCATGATACAGGATTGTATGTGAGAATTTAGTTCTAAATCTGACCTGTGGAGGGCAGTAATACGCTTAACAGCGTCTACACTGCCGGAATCTTATAAGAAGAAGAAGAACACCATGATGAAGAAGAAGCACCGGAAATGATTGTCCGAGTTCAGAGTGGAACAAGATGGCGTCCAGTAACAACGTGTCCCGTTGTCGTGCTGAGAAAGTGTGTGTGACATCCACAGTAACGAGCCATCCGAGCCTCCGTATGTCCGGATAAAGCTGTCTGAATGGACTTTGTGCTGTTCACCGTTTTTCGGAATGTTTTCCCGCTGACTCATCTCCCGGTAGCCTACAAAGCTGATTGTGTGAAAATGTGTAAAGTCCAAATGCTGAGAGCGTTGGTGAAGCAGCGACTAACTGCGGCTGCTGAAGAGATATTTGGGCTGTTTGAAAGAACGATAGCAGAGTACGAGGAGGAACTTTGTCGTTCAAAAGAGGAGAACGAGCGACAACGGAAACTACTGGACGCTGTTTTCAACCCTCAACTTCGGTTACACAGAGCAGGTTGGTTCACTGTACTGCTTCTTCTCTCACTGTTCACACTCTGAGCTGGAAGTAGTATTCACAGCCTTTACTGCAGTAACAGGATGATCAGCACAATGGACTCAAAGGAAAAGTAGTGATAGTGCAGGAACAGGTTGGACTATTATATCTGATGGATCAATATTACTGCTGCATTCATGTGGATGTAGATGTTGAACTACTTTATATACTGTTGCTACTTTAATCTACAGCAGTGACGATGCATTTTCCTGCTCATCCAGGAGGGTTTTTAAATAGTTTATTTAGAATTAGGAGAATTTTCTCCACCCATAAAGTAATAAATGTTTTCCTCGTCAACTATTCATTGAACAACACTAAGTTCATTTATTCCAACACAGTGTAACGTCACACAGTCTGGTTGTTCAATCACTTCCAACTTCACTGAAACTGATCCAGGAACTGGTTACATAAATGCATTACATTTTTCCTCCCCTTTGTTACTTCCCGAGCCAAGATGATGTACTTAAAGCATTGTATATTTCATATGAGTATTTTTACATTAGTGTCATCTTCTTCTGCCTCCTGTATTTCACATACAAGTGGCAGCCCCTTTGGGGTCCTCTCAAATGTGACGCTGGCATAGGTCGCCCTGTTAGCATTTCATACGGGGTAAGGTGGGCATTCTCATACTCATTAGTGCAAGTGGCAACGCAGTCACTCTGTCCATCTTAGTTTCCCTGCAGATTTTCAACGCTCCATGAGCTCTTTCCACTAGACCTTGTGATTGGGGATGGTACACACTTCCCAGCTTATGTTTGATTCTTAGTGTTTGATATCTTCCTTATTACAGCATTGTCAAAATTACTTATCAGCGCCGATGGCGGAGCCAGGGCCAGCAGACCCAGCAGCCCTGGACTAGCGGTATTTGGGCTACTGTGTTAACGGTTTGACTCGAGGACACTGTATGTAAGTTTTGGAGCCAAGCTTTGAAGGGAACATTCAATCAGACTGTTGTCTGGGCTAGAGTTTGCGCGAACTGCGTTTGATGTGGCCACGTATCTTACAGATAGGGGATGGGGTCTGCGGTCTCAGAGGGTTAGGGGATTTGTTTTACTTTTTACGTTTGTACCACACCTTGAGTAGATTTAACAGTTCACACTTTGTTAGAGTGATTAGGCAAGGTGTGATTTCTGTGTTTGTTTTTTGTTGTTGTTTCGTTTTGTGACCGCAGAGGGTGGGTGGTGGGAGATGGTTTTTGTGTTGTTTTTCCTTCTACACCATTTGACACAAACTGTCATACATTGTGGAATTTATTCTGTATATCTGATTGATATAAATGGTGCTAATAAAAAATGTATCACAAAAAAACCAAAAGAGCTGGTGTGCTGCACTCGTGAATGTCTATTGCGACCCAAAACAACGCAGCAAATTAAGTCGTCACACTCTTTCAAATGTTTACTCCGGCAAGGTAAACGGCGTCGTCACGTGAGCTGCACCCGACACGGCAGTGGCTGGCTTACTGCCACTACCTGAGATGTTGCTGCAGCGCATGCAGCGCATTCAGCGCATGCGCGTAACATAGATCCAATGTATCGATGACTGAATTAATCACCAACTATTTTTATAATCGATTTTAATCGATTTAATCGATGAGTTGTTGCAGCCCTAGTCTCCATAACTGCGGATGTAGCACTGACATCTCTGATTACCCGGCATTATGATCAGAGATATTTAATAGGTTTGACTTATGAATAACAAATAGTAGTACTTTAGATTTAATTTATTATTATTATTATATATCTTGGCTTTAAAGTAAATTATTAACTCTGAAATTCCATTGACTGTATCTACTAACAAGTATTATTGTGACTACCCATTCAATTAAAATATTCCAATATAGTGAAAAAATAAAAATATTGTTTTTTAATTCATAGTGAAGCAATGAAGAATCTTTAGGTGATTTTCCCATTTAATTATCCATGGAATCTGCGGGCACAAAGCTTCAATCTCTAGCCTATTTAACTGTTCAATATTTATTCAGTCAGTACAGTCCAGTACAGTAGCTTACACCTTTGGAATATTATGTTTAAATGTCACTAAAAATACCCTGAGGGGAGGTTAAAGTAGTAATAATAAAAATGGAAAAACACTGTACCACATTCACTGCTCCAATTCCCTACAGATCATATCGTATGTCCTGTTCGACTGCAGATATTTAAATATGTTGGACTAAAAATAGTACTTTAGATTTATTACCAATGAATGTTCCCATATATTAGTCCGGAGTTGTCCACTCCTACATTGGTAAACAGGAACAAATCTGGCAGACTCCTTTCGACAAGCATGTTGACCCTTTACTGTTCTCCAACTTTCCCTTGCTGTGGCAGCAGACCGCACCGTTAAAGGTTAAAGAATCTTCTGCCTTGTTCAGAAGGAACTCTGATCTTTTTAATCGTTGCTTACTTCCCATGAAGTCTTCTGCTTATAATCCTCATGAGACCCTGTCAACAGATTTCAACTTGTTTCCAATGTGTTACCACTGAGTGACATCTTCAGCCTGATGATGATCCCACAGTTATCCAGTCTGGATTTAACAGAAAGTGGTGGTTTTCCAAATGTCTATCTTTGTGTTTACTGTGTCCTGCAGACGTCCAGCAGTTGTCAGTGATTAAAGAAGAGGTTCCCCCTGAGCAGCAGCAGGAATGGAGACCCAGTCTGGACCAGGAGGACCCAGAGCCCCCACACATTAAAGAGGAACAGGAGGAAGTCAGGACCAGTCAGGAGGAAGTCAGGACCAGTCGGAAGGAAGTCAGGACCAGTCAGGAGGAAGTCAGGACCAGTCAGGAGGAAGTGGCGGGAAGGAAGGGGGAAGGAAGGAGGGGAGTCAGGACCGTGGGGAGAGCAACTTCAAGAGTTTACATTCACTTCTGTCCCTGTGAAGAGTGAAGATGATGATGAAGAGAAACCTCAGTCCTCACAGCTTCCTCAAAGACAAACTGAACAGATGGAAACAGATGATGGAGAGGACTGTGGAGGACCAGAACCAGCCAGAAACTCAGATCCAGATGAACATTCACAACCTGATACGGATGGTAAGACTAAAGACTTTTTTGAATCTGAGACTGATGATAGTGACAATGATTTTAAAGACACCAGTGAACCTCAGTCAGGTGATGTTACCAATGTAAAGCCTTTCAGCTGTTCAGTTTGTAAGAAATGTTTTTTCATGGAGACAAAGTTTACGTAGACACATGAAAATTCACACAGGTGAGAAACTGTTTAGCTGCTCCGGTATGTAGTAAAAGCTTCAGTCCAAAGAGTCATCTGCAGAGACATATGAGAAGTCATACTGGTGAGAAACCATTCAGCTTCTCAGTGTGTCATAAAAGCTGTCAAATCAATTCTGATTGAGTTTCATTCCATTACAGATTAACACTGCATGGAATTCTTAAAAGTTTAAGAACTTTATTAGCAGCTCTCAACTGTGTCAAAATATCACCTCATGGTTCAAAACATCTCATGTATGAATACAAACCTACATTCAAAACACTGACCTTAAGCCCGCATAGAAATGACAATATGGAACAACATTACAAAGAGGAAAGTGTCGTTCCATACTTCTATTCTTCTACTGCTCAAATGAACCTTATCAGTGTCAACCTCCTGGTCAATATGCACCGTGTGTTTGGTGTAAAATTAAATGTTTCCTAAAACCAGAAAACGCATTTAACACACATCCACATCCAGTCTGGGCACATTTAAGCCTGAGATTTTTTCCAGGTAAGTCACCTAATCGTAAATGGCTAACAAGCGTATTTGAACTAGTTAACTGAGCCTGACAAACAAAACACTGCACGACAGAGGAGAAACTTCAAGCACTACATGAAGCAACCTCGTTCTAACTTCAGAGACACAAGGACTTTCCTTGACCTTGCCAACATCAATGTTGTACACTGTGGTTTGGATGAACGTGTACATGTTGTGAAGCATGCTGTTGTAGGATGTGCCAAACACAAAATGAGCCTTAAACAGTTCATCAAAGGCACCAAGAGAAGAGGTTGAGCTGCAAGGTATGGCATTCTTGAACTGGTGGATTACATTCTTCTTAACTCCAACAGCCGGGAGATAGGGTTGAGCTCAGGAGGTGATAGCATCGAGATGCTCTTGAATGTTTGTTCCAGTCTTCCAAGACAAACACATGAAGATATGATTACAATTGGACAGTTGTAAAACATAAAACCAAAACCGAAAAACGACATAATAACACTTTAAGTTAGACATATTGACAACCAACTAGTTGCTTATTAGAATACATGTTAGCAGCATATTGGCTGTCAGTACTTGTTATAAAGCACTTTATTAATGCCTTATTCTGCATGACCGTATTCTACAACTATTAAGCAATTATATAAGATTTGTCCCTCAATAACCTCCAAAAATACAAACCTTCTTGAAGACCACAAGATGCTTCTCTGCTTGGGATGCCGAAACCTTTCCTGGTCTCTTCCAATCCTGAGCAGAGGGTGGAATCAGGTGTAGCACCAATAAAACCGACAAAAGGTCACTGTCCCAACCTGTAACAACAATCGTGTGTTCAATCTCAACACACTTCAGTTATGCGGGCTGTCAAGAAAATTCAGTGGCTTTGCAATGGCAACAGCATTTAAACAATCAGCTTACCAAAGTCAACATCAACTTCAGTTGGACAATTTAAATTATCTGACAGGCAAGTTAACGGGTGATAGTTAATGGAGTATTACTACAACGCCTGTATACCATCTTATAAAAACTATTGAACTGTCATAATATTTTCAAAATAATGATAATTACCAAGCCTTTGATGTCTTTAAAACGTGGAAAGTCCGACAGTATGTTGCTCGACTTCTGGGGGTCAAGGACCATGTTGCAGCGATACACAAACGTCAGTTTCAGTTTTTTCTTGACCGTGTCTGAATGTTTTGGACACTCGTCTGACAGTTGGTCCTCCAGACATGTCTTCACCAGATGATTCTTTGGCTGATTCTACATAAAATGGGAAAATACAGTATTAGAAATACTGATATCAAAAGCTGTTTTAGAAACCTGGCCAACTTTTAAAGAGGTACTCTACCCAAAAGTATAAACTTAATTACTGACTGTACTGTGATGAAACACATCAGTGCTGCTGTTAATATTGACATTTTCTTCACAATTTATGATTATTACTATTATTTTGTGCGTTAAAATTGGCTGTAGTTACACTTCAAGAAAAAATATTGTATAATTTTTCTGAGAAACATTATGTGCAACAAATGCAATAACTGATCTTGCGACTGTTTTGTTCCATACATTTATCCAGTATTACCTCTAAACGACGATTGCTTTTCTTTAGCGGTGCCTCTCTGAATACTTTCAATCCTACAGGCCAAGTACCCAGTTCCACTCTCACTATCATAGTAGTGCTCCTTGGATTTTTTGGGGATTTCTTTCACTTGTCTGGGTGGGGATGTACTGCAAGGAGAAAGGAGTTTGCAGTTATATTCACTGGATTTAATTTCAATTTCAAATTCATCTCTAAGCTAGATTCAGAACACAAGCACTGTTAACAAATTACCCATTCTTTTCTGTCATGTCAGCTGCCAGTATGTTCACCATTTTTCGTCTGGTTTCATCCATCAAGGATTTGGTTGGGTTGTATTAATTTATTACACGTTCCCTACCAGGTTTGTTGGTAAGAACGGATTCCATCAACTTGAAACACAATACAAGTAATTGATTTTAATATCTTTGATGTGCACTTAATTATGATAAAATAAAACATTTTCAGGGGCTAAAAGAAACAAAACTTTAAGACATAATCATGAGATCAACAATGTCTTCAAACAACGTAAATTTTATAAGAACTTATTTATAAGAACTTACTTGCTTAGCTTCTGCATCCAACCTCTGGCGTTTTCTGGAGGGAAATCAGAAATGATGTCTGTGTCGTTAGAGTCCAAGGAATTGAAGGATGATGGTTAGGATTGCTCAGGAGAGGCTACCGTGGAGACAGATTCTAATCATGAATTGAGAAATCGAAATAAGAACACATTATATAGAGTTTGCTGATAACCCTAACCTGTCACTTATAATTAACATCATAACATAATAGAAATTTAACAGAAACAATCCTGAGCTATATTGGATGGTTAACACCCCCGTTGAGGGATCTGTTACTACATCCTCAAAAACATCTTCATCCAACTCAGTCCCTGAACTGTCGAAAACTTTCAATCTTCTGTTACAGCTGGGACACCAGTCTTTGCAAATGCTAAGAAACAGGCACAAAAGCTTGTGTAAACAGGAAAATCATTGCTTATCTAATGATAACATTTCACTACTCACTTAATATTCACTGAATCTGGATTAGGGTTGCAAAATCCGGGAATTTCAAATTTGGAAACTTTCCATGGGAATTAATGGGAATAAACTGGATATTTTTAATATTGCTTGTTATAATACTGTTAGTCTATAACAGGGAACTTACATGTAGTTGAAAAGAAACATCTTGCAGGATAATCTTGCTTAAAACAACCTGATTTAATGCAACTTGAATGTCCTCCCTATATTTGTCAATGACATGCACACACGCAGTAATCAGCATAGGCTACTACATACTTCCAAAATTTATTTATTTTAAATATGGGAGTTTTTTTCTTTTTTTAGGGGGGGTTAATACATAACCCATTGTTATTAACCTATTTGGGTTAATTGTATTGTACACATATAACCATAACCATAGCCATAGTAAATCAAAGGCAGCATGCTAGCTACCATCATATGTTAAGCTAAAGGTCAATGGTTTGGGTTACTACTTATGGTGCTTTCCATTTGTCTCATAAATCCCCCGCCCAAATTGCTCTGACGAGAACCTGACGTAATTGCCTGGATTGTACCACTTATAGGGTTACATTTGTCTTTGGGCATTACGAGTCAGAAAGAACATGGACGCCACCAGAATGTTTCCAAAATTCCCCAGTTTATCTTTCCACGGAAAGTTTCCGGAAATTTACGGGAAAATGTCCACCTCTTTGCAACCCTAATCTGGATTACCTTTTACAGTAGGGCTCAAACAAACACTTAATGTGAATTTAAAATGTTTGTTTATGTACCAACTATACTTTAAGCAATGCATCCAAAGTTATGGATGTGGTTAGAAAGGGGAACACAAAACACATAGACAATTTAAGATATTGATCAATTCCAAAATCCAAGAACCTAAAATTTTCTATCATTTTATAATAATATTCTAGTATTTTAAACAACTAAATTCGGTTACTATTAGCACTTAAAGCTTCTTGTGCAAATCTTAATTCCACAATGTCAATTTCTTACCTGCTGCTCAGTGTGTGATAAAAGCTTTGGATATAAGCATTGTCTGCAGTTACACATGAGAACTCACACAGGTGAGAAACCATTCAGCTGCACAGTGTGTGCTAAAAGCTTTGGACATAAGTCTAATCTGCAGTTGCACATGAGAACTCACACAGGTGAGAAACCGTTCAGCTGCTCAGTGTGTGATAAAAGCTTCAGTCTAAAGAGTCATCTGCAGGGTCACATGAAGACTCATACAGGTGAGAAACCGTTCAGCTGCTCAGTGTGTGATAAAGCTTCGTGAAGAGTCGTCTGGGGTCTCATGAAGACTCATACAGGTGAGAAACCGTTCGTGCTCAGTGTGTGATAAAGCTTCAGTCTAGAGTCATCTGCAGGGTCACATGAAGACTCATACAGGTATAAAACCTTTCGCTGCCCATTGTGTGATAAAGCTTTGGATATAAGCATGCTCTGCAGTTACACATGAGAACTCACCGGGTGAGAAACCATTCAGCTGCTCAGTGTGTGATAAAAGGTTCATTCAAAAGGGTCATCTGCATATACATATGAAAAGTCATACTGGTGAGAAACCATTCAGCTGCTCACTGTGCGATAAAAGCTTTGGATATAAGCATAGTCTGCAGTTACACATGATAACTCACACAGGTGATAAACCATTCAGCTGCTCAGTGTGTGATAAAAGCTTTGGATATAAGAGTAATCTGCATTTGCACATGAGAAGTCATACAGATAAGAAACCTTTCAGCTGCTCAGTATGCCAACAAAACTTCATTAAAAGAGTACTCTAGCGGACCACATGACAACTCACACATCCAGCTCAGTCTGCAGTTAAAGCTTCCGAATTAAAAGTACTATGCAGAGACACATGAGAACTGACTGAGATGATGAGAGCTGTGGCTCAAGCAGAGCGGGTAGTCCCCAAATCGGAAGGTTGTTGGTTCGATCCCCGGCTGCTCCTGCCATGTGTCAAAGTATCCTTGAGCAAGATACTGAACCCCAAATTGCTCCTGATGCACAGCATCTCTGTGTAAATGTGTTTGAATGAGTTACTTTCTGTTTGATAGACTTTGCCATCATGGTGCATGTAGTGTAAAGGCGCTTTGAGTGGTCGGAAGACTAGAAAGGCGCTATACAAGTATCGGCCAAACAACAGCCTTTCATTGGTCAAGATCTCTCTGAAACCAGACCTGTCATCACGGCTATTTAAGCCAGAGAGATGATCTCTCTCTCTCTCTCTCTTCGCTTTTTTTCCTCATCTAACTTCGCTCCTGCTCACACACCGACCCTGGGTGATAAATTTGGACCTTGGTGCGGCCTGATGCACGACGACGCACGACAAAAAATTATAGCATGGCACAAAAGCCTGTTTTTTCCTGCGATACCTGCACCAGTGGACATCGCACTGCAGAGACAGTTTCACACCCTGAAACATCTGGTCAGAGGACATTTCATGACCCCCTGCGCGCACACGCGCACACACACACTCACTCACTCACTCACACTCTCTCTCTCTCTCTCTCTCTCTCCATATGTATCAGATATACATAATGTGCATTATGTCCTGATAGGGAAAGTCAATACGAGAGACGTAATGTCTTAAAGGTATTATTATTTTAACTTACATCTTGAAGGCAGAGAGTCATCACTGTGGTGGAGGAGGAGGGATTCACAGAGATGTGGAGTTGTGAAGTGGCCCTGGCTCCTGCTGAGCTGGGGGGGGGGGGAACTGGTGAGGGGGTGCAGGTGAGGGGTGTCAGGACTGCTCCTTTTGTCTGTCAAAACGACAGTAAGACTCATTCAGCTCGTTTGCTAGACGCAATTCATTGGTGGGGGAGGGGTTAGGTTAGGTTTGTAGTTGGTTATCTCTCTGAGCCCCTTTCAGACAGAACCAGAGTTGTTGGCTGAGAACTGACGTTGAAGTTTCTCAGAGTACTGTCGTTTAGCTTCTCTCACCGCCTTGCTTAACTTGTACTTTGCCTCCATAAACCTGTCCCTGTCCCCACTCCTGAATGCTTGCTCCTTCTGTAACTGTCTTTGGCTGTGAACCAGGGTTTGTCATTGTTATAGCTCACTGTGGTGCGTGATGGTACACAGCAGTCCTCACAGAAGCTGACGTATGACGTCACAGCCTCTGGTCCAGACTGTTGGTAGCAGTCCTGAACACATCCCAGTCAGTAGAGCCCAAACACGCCTGAAGACCCTCTGCAGCTTCACTGGTCCACTATTGTGATGTCCTCACAACAGGTTTACAGAGCTTTAATTTCTGCCTGTATGAAGGAATGAGGTGGACCATGACTGTTCAGAGAGGCCAAGTGCGGGGGACGACGTGATAAGCTCTGCTGACTGTAGTGTAACAGTGATCCAGTGTGTTCTTCTCTCTGGTCAGGCATTTAATAAACTGTCTGTATTTGGGGAGTTCGTGGCTGAGGTTTCCTTTGTTAAAGTCACCAAGGACAATAACTAAAGAGTTCGGGTTAGTCCGCTCCACACTCAGTATGTGGTTGGCGAGCGTGCGCTGTGCCTCCTGCACGGTGGCCTGCGGTGGAATGTAAACACTGACCAGAATGTATGAAACAAATTGACAGGGGGAGTGAAAAGGTTTACAGTTTATGAGGAAATATTCCAGATTAGAAGAGCAGTGCTGTTGGCTCACTGTCACATCATTGTACCAGCTACTGTTGGTGCACGAACAGATTCCTCCACCCTTTGTTTTACTGGAGAGTTCTGTATCACGATCTGCTCTGAAGAGTTGGAAGCCTGCCAGCTGCAGTGCAGTCCGGTATCGATCCACAGAGTCCGGTATCGATCCACACAGCCACGTCTCAATGAAGCATGAAAGAGAGGATGAAGAAAAGTCTGTGTTTTTCCCCAGAAGTAACTGAAGTTGGTCCATTTTATTACACATTGAACGCATGTTGGAAAGGAATATCCCAGGTAACGGTGTGTGATGTCCGTGCTGGCAGAGACGCCCAAGCGCACCGGCACGTTTTCCTCTCCTCCTGCGTTTCACTGGTTGGCGCACGTTTGACCACGATGTCCAATATTTCAGCTGAAGAAAGAAGAAAACTGGTCAGACAGATCAGCTTGAGATGTTCCACTGATATTCATGAGCTCGTCTCTAGTGAAAGAGCTCCGGGTATCACAACCAAAAAACTGAGTTAACAAAGAAAACAAGAAAAAACAAAGCGCACCAACAAACCGAAGTGACCGTACGTGGTGCCATCTTAGATGACTCATCTTGAATATTTTCATAACAAGAAACGATAAAGCACATTCACGATCTGAGCTGTGTGCTGTGATTGATAATGGGTTATTATTAATAATAACTATTTTATCTTTTGATTCACTTGAAACGAAATAATAATCTGTGGAACCTGCGTGCACGAAGCTTCAGTCTCTAGCCTATTTAATTGTTCAATATTTATTCAGTCAGTACAGTCAAGTACAGTAGCCTACACCTTTGGAATATTGTTGTTTCAATGTCACTATAAATAAAAATACCCTCAGGGAAGGTTAAAGCAGTAATAGAAATGAAAACATACTGTACCACATTCACTGCTCCAATTCCCTGCAGATAATGTCGTATGTACTGTTCAAACGGAGATATTTAAATATGTTGGACTAAAAATAGTACTTTAGATATAATTTATGATCTTGGCTTTAAAGTAAATTAATAACTCTTTAATTGCATTGACTGTATCTACTAACTAGTGTTATTGTGACTACCCATTCAATTCAAATGTTCCAACAATAATAAAAAATGAAAAATATTGTTCTTGATGCGTAGTGAACCAATGAAGAATATTTGGGTGATGTTCCCATTTATTTGTCCGGAGTAGTCCACTCCTACATCGATAAACGGGAACAAATCTGGCAGAATCCTTTCGACCGGCATGTTGACCCTTTACTTGACCAACTTTCCCTTGCTGTGGCAGCAGACCGCACCGTTAAAGGTTAAAGAATCTTCTGCCTTGTTCATAAGAAATTCTGATCCTTTTAATCGTTGCTTACTTTCCAGGAAAGTCTGCTGATAATCCTTGTGAGACCTTGTCAACAGATTTCAACTTGGTTCCAATGTGTTTCCACTGAGTGACATCTTCAGCCTGATGATGATCCCACAGTTATCCAGTCTGGATTTTAACAGAAAGTGGTGGTTTTCCATAATGTCTATCTTTGTGTTTACTGTGTCCTGCAGACGTCCAGCAGCTATCGGTGTGTAAAGAAGAGGTTCCCCCTGAGCAGCAGCAGGAGTGGAGACCCAGTCTGGACCAGGAGGACCCAGAGCCCCCACACATTAAAGAGGAACAGGAGGAAGTCAAGACCAGTCAGGAGGAAGTCAGGACCAGTCAGGAGGAAGTCAGGACCAGTCAGAAGGAAGTCAGGACCAGTCAGGAGGGAGAGCAACTTCAAGAGTTTACATTCACTTCTGTCCCTGTGAAGAGTGAAGATGATGATGATGAAGAGAAACCTCAGTCCTCACAGCTTCCTCAAAGACTAACTGAACAGATGGAAACAGATGATGGAGAGGACTGTGGAGGACCAGAACCAGCCAGAAACTCAGATCCAGATGAACATTCACAACCTGATACGGATGGTAAGACTGAAGAGTCTTCTGAATCTGAGACTGATCATCGCAACAATGATTTTAAAGACACCAGGGAACCTCAGTCAGGTGATGTTACCAATATAAAGCCTTTCAGCTGTTCAGTTTGTAAGAAATGTTTTTCATGGAGCAGATATTTACGTATACACATGAAAATTCACACAGGTGAGAAACCGTTTAGCTGCTTAGTGTGTCATAAACGCTATGGAAAAAAGAGTATTCTGCAGTTGCACATGAGAACTCACACAGGAGTTAAACCATTCAGCTGCTCGGTGTGTGATAAAAGCTTCAGTCAAAAGAGTCATCTGCAGGGTCACATGTTTACTCATACAGGTACGAAACCTTTCAGCTGCTCAGTGTGTGATAAAAGCTTTGGATATAAGCATTGTCTGCAGTTACACATGAGAACTCACACAGGTGAGAAACCATTCAGCTGCACAGTGTGTGCTAAAAGCTTTGGACATAAGTCTAATCTGCAGTTGCACATGAGAACTCATACAGATAAGAAACCTTTCAGCTGCTCAGTGTGTGATAAATGCTTCAGTCAAAACAGTCATCTGCAGGCTCACATGAAGACTCATACAGGTGAGAAACCGTTCAGCTGCTCAGTGTGTGATAAAAGCTTCGGTTTAAAGAAGCATCTGCAGGGTCACATGACGACTCATACAGGTGAGAAACCGTTCAGCTGCTCAGTGTGTGATAAAAGCTTCAGTCTAAAGAGTCATCTGCAGGGTCACATGAAGACTCATACAGGTGAGAAACCTTTCAGCTGCTCATTGTGTGATAAAAGCTTTGGATATAAGCATAGTCTGCAGTTACACATGAGAACTCACACGGGTGAGAAACCATTCAGCTGCTCAGTGTGTGATAAAAGGTTCATTCAAAAGGGTCATCTGCATATACATATGAAAAGTCATACTGGTGAGAAACCATTCAGCTGCTCACTGTGCGATAAAAGCTTTGGATATAAGCATAGTCTGCAGTTACACATGATAACTCACACAGGTGAGAAACCATTCAGCTGCTCAGTGTGTGATAAAAGCTTTGGATATAAGAGTAATCTGCATTTGCACATGAGAAGTCATACAGATAAGAAACCTTTCAGCTGCTCAGTATGCCAACAAAACTTCATTAAAAAGAGTACTCTAGCGGACCACATGACAACTCACACATCCAGCTCAGTCTGCAGTTAAAGCTTCTGAATTAAAAGTACTATGCAGAGACACATGAGAACTGACTGAGATGATGAGAGCTGTGGCTCAAGCAGAGCGGGTAGTCCCCAAATCGGAAGGTTGTTGGTTCGATCCCCGGCTGCTCCTGCCATGTGTCAAAGTATCCTTGAGCAAGATACTGAACCCCAAATTGCTCCTGATGCACAGCATCTCTGTGTAAATGTGTTTGAATGAGTTACTTTCTGTTTGATAGACTTTGCCATCACGGTGCATGTAGTGTAAAGGCGCTTTGAGTGGTCGGAAGACTAGAAAGGCGCTATACAAGTATCAGTCCATTTCCCATTTGCAAAGGGAACAGGCCCGCTAGATAACAGACCTGTGATACAGATAACTCTGTTGGGGGGGTTCCCGGAATGCGGCCAGGGTGTGTCATAAAGGCAATAAACGGCCAAACAACAGCCTTTCATTGGTCAAGATCCCTCTGAAACCAGACCTGTCATCACGGCTATTTAAGCCAGAGAGATGATCTCTCTCTCTCTCTCTCTCTTCGCTTTTTTTCCTCATCTACCTTCGCTCCTGCTCACACACCGACCCTGGGTGTTAAATTTGGACCTTGGTGCGGCCTGATGCACGATGACGCACGACAAAAAATTATAGCATGGCACAAAAAGCCTGTTTTTTCCTGCGATACCTGCACCAGTGGACATCGCACTGCAGAGACAGTTTCACGCCCTGAAACATCTGGTCAGAGGACATTTCATGACCCCCTGGCCACACGACACACACACACACTCACTCACTCACTCACTCACTCTCTCTCTCTCTTCCTTTTCCCCTTTAAGTTAGATTGTATATTGTGTATTTTTCCTCAGTTGGTTTTATTATATCTGGTTAATAAATGTTTGTGTTTACATATGCTGGCCTATTTAATTTCATACAAGTGATACCAACCTCTTCTATGTAGAACTCCAAAGCTCCCACTCTAGCTATTATTAATGATTTTGGTTGCAATTATTAATTTAATTTCTGAATTAATAGTTTAGAGTAATTTTTATGAGACTGATCAATCGATTATTGGTTATCATTCCCTTATTTAAGGGAATTTTAAGGTAATTTTCTATTATCTTTTGAGAATTATAATTTTTGATAACCATTAATTGATTAAACCAATACAGTTAGACCACTCTAACACCCTACGTCGTAGAGCCCGACAACAATGTGACAATGGAAAACAACTTTCCCCTGCCTGGCTTACGGGATCACTGGCCAACAACTCAGCAAGAGTTTAGCCATTTCTCCAGGAACCACTACACCACTGAACATAGTGGGCATACATAGCTGTGCACAGTTTAACTGTGTTCATTAAGTACTGGACTGCATAACTTTTGTAAATGTAATGTATTGATCTGGTTTTATTGTTGTGATTTTGTTCTGGTTTATGTTAGGTTACTGTGTTACTCATGTTCTACACTGCTATGGTGATCTTAGTTAAATGTTGTGTTCCACACAGAAACAGTCTTTGAATAACTAACTCTTTAACTTGCCACTGTTCATATAAGATCACCTCGGCCTTTAACACAACCAAACACAGCAGAGAGGACCTTTAAAACTGCTTTTTTAAAGAAGGGTTTGTGATTCATCTGACGTCTGAAAATACACCCAAAGTCTGTGGTTATTGAATACTGTGTGCAATCTGTTGGGGTTTTATTGATGACCCCATGGTGGAGATATTGTTGGTAGAATTTTATGAAATGTTACACATACGTGCGATGTGGTTGTATGTACAGAATTCCCAAATTTGTTTGCCTGTGAAGTACAACTGGCTACACCTTCTAAAGTAACAATTACAGGCAACCAATAACTGTATTTTATATTAATCAAATAAATAGTATGCAGCACTTGCGTCTGTGCTTTATTTGTCCTGTCCGCTGAAACTCAGAATTATTGTGGAACTATTGTTAGTGGAATTGTATGAAGTTCAGTTTGGGTTTATGGACAACATTCTCAAATTTGGTTGCAGTTCAATTCAGCATTAAAATATGATTGTTATATGTTAAGTGCATCATGACACACCTTCAAAAGGAAGATAGCCAATTACAGACAAGCAATAAGTGACCTACAAGTCTTGTTCTCCTTAATCTAAATATTTTATGTATGAATTTTGGTTAAGATTAGATGAAATATCCAAACTGGTGTAATGTTTTTAGGGCATGAATGGGTGTGGCCCATATTGGTAAAATTGGCATCATCGAAAGAACCCACTGTACAAAAATGTTTCTTCTACTCCAAACAGTTATTAGATAAAAAATATAGTTTTATTGTGAATGAATAACATAAATCAGGTTAAAGTCGAACTGGAATGATCTTCTGTATAACAGATGTTAAGGCTGTAGGTTCAGTGTCCTCAACCTGGATACTGTGAGCTTCTCCGCAGAGGAGGAGGACGTGGGGAGACATCACGCTGCAATATTCTGAATTTAGATTGCAGTTCTCTTTTTAAACACTAGCTGTCAGTGTTACACATTTAATACACCTCTAACCCTGCAAAGAGCTCAGTGACCAAAGACCAGCCTCATGGGACTAATGATAAATGACCCCCCAGTTAAGATTCTGTTTGTCATTATAAGGAGAAACTGGTTAAAAAAAGCTGAGACCCCCCTCCGCAGAGGTCAGAGCCCCCTGTTGGCTGTTTCTGTGCAAAACTAACTGAAACTTCAGAAAGGTTCAAGTCTCCCTTGCTTGTCTGTTTAATTGTGTTATGCCCATAATGCCTCATATGAGTTGGTCTTGATGTTGGGAAGACACTTCAGTACCTCATTATAAAGCTGTTTGTCACAAATTTTAATTTCACATTTAATTTTAACTTCATCAAAAACATTGCAGCTTCTGTCATTTGCAAATTGCAATTAGACATATTTCCATCAATTGTGCAGCCCTAAAAACGCTGCAACATGAATCAATATTTGTTAGGAAAGCTGCTGTGAACTATTATATACTATTTTATTATTATATAACCCTGAACATGAGCAGTAGAGTTAATCTCTACAACAGCACAGCTCATCAAACCTTCATTTCATCAAAGGTAATCGGAAAACGGTGCTCCCTGCTCGCTCGGTGTAGTGTGCGATGGGCTCTCTCCACCTCTCCACCTCTATCGCACATCCATGGAATCTGCGGGCACAAAGCTTCAGTCTCTAGCCTATTTAATTGTTCAATATTTATTCAGTCAGTACAGTCCAGTACAGTAGCTTACACCTTTGGAATATTATGTTTAAATGTCACTAAAAATACCCTGAGGGGAGGTTAAAGTAGTAATAAAAATGGAAAAACACTGTACCACATTCACTGCTCCAATTCCCTGCAGATCATATCGTATGTACTGTTCGACTGCAGATATTTAAATATGTTGGACTAAAAATAGTACTTTAGATTTAGCACCAATGAAGAATCTTTGGGTGATTCAATTCAATTCAATTTTATTTGTATAGCGCCAATTCATAACAGAAGTTATCTCAGGACACTTTTCAAATAGAGCAGGTCTAGACCGAACTCTTTAACACTAATTACAGAGACCCAACAGTACCACCACGAGCAAGCACTTGGCGACAAGGGCAAGGAAAAACTGCCTGTTAAAAGGCAGAAACCTAGGACAGATCCTCCAGCTCTAGGTGGGTGGTCATCTGTCTCGACCAGTTGGGGTGGAGAGAGAGAGAGAGAGAGCGAGAGACAGACAGACAGACAGACAGGTGCACAGCAACAACAGTATTGGCAATGGCAGTCAAGCAGGACCATGGCAGGAGGCTCCACCAGGATCGATGAGAACCTGCGAGACGAGAAAGCACAAGAACTCCGGGGAAGAAGTGGAGTTAGTAACATGCATTAATGGGACATGAATGAGTGCATAAAGAGAGAGGAAGGGAGGAGCTCAGTGCACCATGGGAAATCCCCTGATAGTCTAGGCCTATAGCAGCATAACTAAGGGATGGTTCAGGACTCACCTGATCCAGCCCTAACTATAAGCTTTATCAAAGAGGAATGTCTTAAGCCTACTCTTGAATGTGGTGAGGGTGTCTGCCTCCCGAACCACAACTTGAAGCTGGTTCCACAGGAGAGGAGCTTGGTAACTGAAGGCTCTGGCTCCTGTTCTACTTTTAGAGACTATAGGAACCACAAGTAGCCCAGCATTCAGAGAACGTAGTTCTCGTGATGTTCCCATATATAAGTCCGAAGTAGTCTACTCCTACATTTGTAAACGGCAACAAATCTGGCAGAATCCTTTCGACCAGCATGCTGACCCTTTACTGTCCTCCTACTTTCTCTTGCTGTGGCAGCGGACCGCACCGTTAAAAGTTAAAGAATCTTCTGCCTTGTTCAGAAGAAATTCTGATTCTTTTAATCATTGCTTACTTTCCAGGAAGTCTTCTGCTGTTAATCCTTGTGAGACCTTGTCAACAGGCTTCAACTTGGTTCCAATGTGTTTCCACTGAGTGACATCTTCAGCCTGATGATGATCCCACAGTTATCCAGTCTGGATTTAACAGAAAGTGGTGGTTTTCCATAATGTCTATCTTTGTGTTTACTGTGTCCTTCAGACGTCCAGCAGCTATCGGTGTGTAAAGAAGAGGTTCCCCCTGAGCAGCAGCAGGAGTGGAGACCCAGTCTGGACCAGGAGGACCCAGAGCCCCCACACATTAAAGAGGAACAGGAGGAAGTCAGGACCAGTCAGGAGGGAGAGCAACTTCAAGAGTTTACATTCACTTCTGTCCCTGTGAAGAGTGAAGATGATGATGATGAAGAGAAACCTCAGTCCTCACAGCTTCCTCAAAGACAAACTGAACAGATGGAAACAGATGGTGGAGAGGAATGTGGAGGACCAGAACCAGCCAGAAACTCAGATCCAGATGAACTTTCACAACCTGATAAAAGCTTCAGTCTAAAGACTAATCTGCAGTTGCACATGAGAACTCACACAGGTGAGAAACTGTTCAGCTGCTCAGCGTGTGATAAAAGCTTCAGTCATAAGAGTGCTCTGCAGACACATGTGAGAAGTCATACTGGTGAGAAACCATTCAGCTGCTCAGTGTGCGATAAAAGCTTTGGATATAAGAATACTCTGCAGTTACACATGAGAATTCACACAGGTGAGAAACCATTCAGCTGCTCAGTGTGTAGTAAAAGCTTCAGTGTAAAGACAAATCTGCAGTTACACATGAGAACTCACACTGGTGAGAAACCGTTCAGCTGCTCAGTGTGCAATAAAAGCTTCAGTCAAAAGAGTACTCTGCAGGATCACATGAAGACTCATACAGGTGAGAAACCGTTCAGCTGCTCAGTGTGTAGTAAAAGCTTCAGTGTAAAGACTAATCTGCAGTTACACATGAGAACTCACACGGGCGAGAAACCGTTTAGCTGCTCAGTGTGCGATAAATGCTTTGGATATAAGAATACTCTGCAGGATCACATGAAGATTCATACAAGAGAGAAACCTTTCAGCCTCTCAGTATGCCAACAAACTTCATTAAAAAGAGTACTCTAGAGGACCACATGACAACTCACACATTCAGCTCAGTCTGCAGTTAAAGCTTCTGTATTAAAAGTACTATGCAGAGACACATGAGAACTCACACAAGAGAGCAGCAGGAAATTAAGAATCCTGTTCAGCTATTACAGACTAGAAACTAGACTTTTTGATCTGGTTTTATTGTTGTGATTTTGTTATGGTTTATGTTAGGTTACTGTGTTACTCATGTTCTACACTGCTATGGTGATCTTAGTTAAATGTTATGTTGCACACAGAAACAGTCAACATCAACATCACCTCGGCCTTTAACACAACCACACACAGCAGAGAGAACCTTAAAACTCTGTTTGGTCTCTGCTGAACAAGCTCAACATACAGTGCAACACACACTTTGTTAATTGGTTTAGTGCATTGTAGTTTGATCATATTGTCTATTTATACTTTATCTTTTTAATAAATGTTATCAAATATACATTCTGGTTTGTTAAATATTCCACAAACGTGAAGGATACCAAACTCTATGTTGAGCTACAAATCCTTCAGCTGACTTAATGTGAACATGATGAACTTAGTTATACTTATTGAACAAATAAATTAGTGATTTAGATTAATTGTTTTGTATATTTTATGAGTCTGACTCTTCAATTAATAGTTTTCCTTTAAGGGTGGTGTCCTTAGGAATTTCTGATATAATACGTATAAGGATATTGATCACTGTTATTTTTTATTTTCTTTGATAATTTTGATAGCCAGAATTAATTGATTGGTCCTACAAAGTTTGATGAACCTTTAAATCATTTTAATTACCACAATGTGCAAAACTTGTTTTTTTTGTTTTTGGTGAAAATGTTTTATTCTTTGTCTGTTTAATCAGTAGAATGATGATGGTTGTATTTTCTGTACTTTATTTTGTCTTTGTTTTATATTATATTATTTGTATTAAGTTGAGATATTGAAGCGAATAGAGATAACACTTCTCCCAGAACTTCTTTGTAAAAGATCTCAAGACTCAAAGCTCAGCTTTATTTCTTTCAGGTTCAGTATCAGTTCCCTTCCCTCAAGTTACAGCAACTAACTGTTTCATAGTGACAGATACATTTGTAAAAATTTGCCACAACACAACACACGTGAGAAATATAGATGATAATGATACATTTTCACCATTTCATGTGTTTCTGAGCAAGTTGCAGTCTCCAAAAATGTAATAATCTGGAATAAAAATTACTTCAGATACAATAGGATCTTGCTCGTGTCCTAATTTATATATTTTTTTTAAGCATATATTAATATTAATATTGTTTGTTTGTGTCACAGTCAATGAAGAGATTGCAAAGGTAAGTGTTTAACATCATAAACATCATTACAGCTGACACTGAAGTTAGGAGGAAGTTAGTTCTGCCGCCGTCATTTGTTGCGATCCTATCTTCCACAATACTAATTGGCCTGCAGTTTGAAGCTATCCACTTGGGAATGGCATTTGTTAGCTTGTCTTGCTTTTGTTTATCTATACTTCTTACACACGCTGCATCCAACATAGTCTGCTGAAGCCTCCCTCCCCTCTCCTCCTGTGACCCAGGGATGGTTTGTGTATCCAGAGTCAGTGAGCAAAGGACTTTCAAAATAATAATAGTAAAAAAAAAAACTGCGTCAATGCAAGATAAAATAATTGTCGGCGTTAATTACTTGCCCAGCCCTAATATATATATATATATATATATATATATATAATATGTGGATGCAAACCTCACTGCTTTCTGCTTTGCATCACAGTAATTGCATGTACCATAGAAAATACCTGAGAAAGCAGGAGCAGGTAGGCTTCTGTGTTTTTAGTGTCTGTATGTGTCTGTATGTATAAAATAACACTTCTGTTCATCCCTGCAGCCAATGGGAGCAACAAAAGTCTCCCTGAGGCCAGCGGTCTCCTGAAGAACTGAAGCGCAGACTGACGCAGTGGAAATAGATTACAGATTTTCCATTGGAATACATCAAGACTCATAGCAGAACCAAATTTCTTATTGGATAGAAACAAGCTGCACAGTAAATCAAAATCTCAATATGGTAAGATGCGGTAAGTTATGAAGGTAAAATATGTGACATCACATCACAGTCGCAGTATCTGTGAAAATAATGTCTTTATGATGGCCGTCCCGTATCGTGCAGCCTTAATAGAAACTAAAAAGGGGAATTGTAAAAAGACACAATAAGAACAAAGAACTTGTATCAGCTCAATAACATCTCCACTGTCTCTTTAGGGGTTAAGGGCAAAATGAAGTTCAATACACTGAAAACTGCCCGAGCCACTTAATGAGACATTTAAAAATGGGATGAATTCAAGTCAGAAGTTTGAGTAGTGAGCCTAAACTGGGCACTACAAGGGTTTGAAATATGAAAGAGTTAGGTGAGCTTGTTTTGACCAGAGTCAGGTGGAGATTCAGGAAAGTGATTGGAAAGAGTCTACAAAAGAGTTTAATACATTCAATGAAAAATACTTGGATAAACAATGGATAAAGGGAAGGAAAGGCTATAAAAGAATTAAGATTAAAGGACAACATTGGCACCTTTTCTGAATTTAACCCATTTACTACAAATCAAAGTATACTTTACATTACTGACGACAACAACACCAGAGTTTAATTTCCATCCTGGTCGTCAGTTTATAATAAAGAAAAAGTTCAATGTGAATTGAGACTGTGAGACTCAGAGGTAACATTTAACACTGTTGTGGATTGTGTCGTTTGAGTGCGTTTGTCTGTAGGAGTGTCTGTTATAACATTTTAGAAGCTGTAGGTGAGTACTGTAAAACTTCTAATAATAGCCTAGACGTTTATTTGCTTAAATCACTGAACTCCCCCTGCCTTTATTGGGGACAGGCTTCTATTCGGGACAGGCGTTTCATTCCTTTAGTAAAAAACTAAACTTAACTCTAACTGCTGCTTCTCTTGAGTTTTGTTCAGCAAATTTGAAAACTAACATGATGATTATAATCGCTTCAGAGGTCTTTTTTCCGTCTCTCTCGTCTACCAGGTTACCAAATGAATTATCGTTTTACTTTGGTGTTGATAGTTTTTGTAAAAACAATTTAATTGTGAAGAATCTAACTGATCTAACAATGTGAATTATGTACATATTGACAGAAGTAGGAGATTGAAGCGACTTAAAACAAGCTCAAGCAGGCGACCAGGTGGGTTTTAAGAAGTCTAAGGTTAAAGGTCTGCGTCTATTAGGGACCCTGCTTTTATTGGAAGTTTTACATTAAGTTTATGGTAATAATCTGTCCTGATGCTGTTAAATAATAACATGCATATATATTTGACATTTTTTCAAGTTTAAGTTGATGCTGTTAAGAGAAGAAATTAGTTACTTTAAACATTTGGGGGTAATCATGGTGACCAGTAACCATTCTTTATGCTTTATGTGCCTTCAACCTTCATACTTTGAGCTTTTATATCGTTGACACATTGAAGTATTGTTCTCCGGCTGTTTCTCTCTGTCAAAATAAAAGTGCACTCCAGGTTATAAAACAGTGAAACATTTTTATCAAATATCAGTTTGTCTGTCTAAAAAATTTGTGTAAAGATTGTTTGTGATAATGCGGATTGTAAGACTGAAGTGAAGAATATCTGATATTTTTAGCTTCTGTCTAAAAAGTTTGAATGAGTTGAATCATAAATATTTCACTGTAAATCCATGTGCCAATAAATTAATGCTGATTTTATCTTTTAAAAGGACAAAGTTAATAAAGCCCTTGCTCTGTTTTCTACTGTCTACTATCTGTGGATTGTTGTAATGGAGAAGTTTGAATTGTAAGATAAAGATTACCTTTGATGAAATGAAGGTTCGACGAGCTGTGCTGTTGTAAAGATTCACTCTCCTGCTCCTGTTCAGGGTTATATGATAATAATAATAATATAGTATATAATAGTAAGACAGAATCTTAACTGGGGGGTCATTTATCATCAGTCCCATGAGGCTCATTGCATGAAAAGTGGGATTTGTGTTCCAGTAAACGCCAGGGAAATTTCCCTAATTTTCGGCAGTTAACGACAATTTACAGCCTGCAAACGTCGCGTTTGTCTGTGCCACATATTGTCATAAACGAACCATGACGTATGTGGAGAGCTCGCGGAGTGGTAATGGCTCTAATTAGCATATGAATAGCAGCAAAACCGCACCAGGCCTGGCTTGAATTTCCTTACTCAGTATTGGATGAAACCACTACTTTTAAACAAGAAAAATCACCCGTAATTGGTTGGCAGATCTGTCACTATTGGTCACCCTGGGTCATTATAAATGTATAATAAAGTAATATATATATATATATATATATATATATATATATATATTCATATGATATGCTATTATGCTGTATATGCTATTATGTTGTATATTCATGTCATTGTTATCCTATGGACTACACTATTATTACCATCAAGGACATGAATGAATTTATTAAGGAAAGGAAAATTTGCCAGGAACATGTTTATTCAAAAGAATTTTTTTTTATTAGCACAAACACACAACTATGTACAAAGCGAGATCTGCCCCCACAACAAATGGGAAGCTCAGGAGAAGCCCAAAATCCTACAGCCCTGGGAAGTGGCTGTTGCCACCTCTGAGCTGTAGTTAACTACGGTATTCTGTCTTAATTTGGCCCGTTTTGCAGACGTCTGTGGTGCATTGCCCTGTACTTCGGAGTTGCCTCTAATCTCGACTGCAGCGTGACACAGAGCTCGGTGATCTCCTGGCTGTGAAAGGACGGAGGTCGCACAATCCAACCAGACACCCCGCCAACGATGCCGTCTTCCTCATCAGACATCAGGTCTATGGTCAATAATCAGTAATCCGCGATGCACTGCGTATGGACACAACACATCTTTTAATGCACCTGAAAAATAGCCACCAAAAAAAGTCTTACCCTCTTTCTTCTCGATCGACTCCAAGCTGAACTATTCACAGCTTCCGCCTGCGGTGCAAGGTCTGGTTGTTTGTACCTGAAGCTCCAGCATACTGTGTCATAATAGGTCTTACAGACAGCTGGAAAACAATTAAATAAGAGTGGTATGAATAAAAAAACTTAAGTCACAGTTAAAAAAGGTAAGTCTGTGAAAACAAAATGCACGGTTAAGATCGGTATCTAGTCAAGTCAAGTCAAGTCAAGTCAGCTTTATTGTCAGATGTGCTATACATGCACGACATACAGCACAAATGACATTTCAGTCCTCTTGGACCCACAGTGCAAAAGGCAATACAAAAATAAGTTTTCTATAAATAGAAAAGACATAAAATAAACAACAACAACATCAACAATCAACAAATGAACACAACATAAAAATGAACAATCCACAATTTAACATGACATAAAAATGAACAATCAACAATTTAACATGACATAAAAATAAACTATCAACTATCAACAATAAACAATAGACTAGTCGTTGCCTAGTCTATTAACGTATCTATTTCCTTATACAGCAGAATGAAAGCATATTCTTTAAATCTTACCCTTGCTCCGGTTCGTAGCGCCTTCAATTTGTCTCCGAGTTGTGAAGACGGCGTACTGCTTCCTGTAAATTACAAGACAAAAAAATACACTTTTATAAAGCAACTTACACTGGTTCTGCTCACTTGTTCCTTTACAAATCAGAATCAGAATCAGAAATACTTTAATAATCCCAGGGGGAAATTATTTTCGTTACAACACTCCAGATATACAAACAACATATTATACAAACAACATATATATATACAACATTCAGCACAAAAAATATAAATATATATATATAACTATATATATATATATATACAAGATTAAATGTACAGTAAGGCTACTAGGTTACCTTTAGCTTGGGCTACTTAAAAAACCTTTGCTTTTAGGCTACTTTTAGCTTAGCTAGCAGTCATTGAACATATTCTTACCGCAATCTTGGGATTGTGCACCCGTCTTCTCTTCTTAGAGTTAGTCTCTCCCGCACAGTTGACTCCAAAGCAACCAACCTATCCTCCATCGACAGCAACCTGGAGTTTACTGAACTGCTGAGTTGAGTGAACTGCTCATTCACATCAGCAGCAAACAGAGTAAGCTGACGAGACAGCCCACCGATAGCATTCAGCAGTTTCTTCTCGCCGGTCATCTGACAATTCACGGCAGTTTTCCGTGTTGCCTGCAAATTGCCGTGTGCAGTTGTAAACCTGAAGTTCCACGACAATCTACAGTGCCGCTTACTGACGAAAAATCCCACTTTCCATGCAGTGGCTGTTCTTTGGTCACTGAGATCTTTGCAGGGTTAAAGGTGGATTAAATGTGTAGCACTGACAGCTAGTGTTTAAAAAGAGAACTGCAATCTAAATTCAGAATGTTACAGCGTGATGTCTCTCCACGTCCTCCTCCTTTGCAGAAAAGCTCACAGTAGCCAGGTTGAAGACACTGAACCTACAGCCTTAACATCATTCCCGTTCGACTTTAACCTGATTTATGTTATTTATTTACAATACTATATTTTTTTATCTAATAACTGTTAGTAGAAGAAATGTTTTTGTACAGTGGGTTCTTTCGATGATGCCAATTTTACCAATATAGGCCACACCCATTCATGCCCTAAAAACATTACACCAGTTTGGATATTTCATCCAATCTTCACCAAAATCCATAAATAACAAAGCCTTTCGCAAAGCCTGAAAAAACTCAATCATGCAGTGATTGTACTTTTTGAGTAATTTCGTATCGATACCATGGCCGCACTGGAACCATATGCTGATTTAATTAAAGACTTATTTGAAACTGGCAAGACGTAACTGTCAAGTGTAAAGTGGTCGCAGACTTCCTCTTCATCAGAGGCACATAGCAGGACGTTGGGTTTGCAGAGGGAGGGGATGTCGACAACGATGATGACGTGCGGGATCTCTCTCAGTAGCAGTAGCAGTAGCAGCCAGCAGTTCAGCATCCGGGCCACAGAGCTGTTCGCTCTCGGTACAACCCCGGTCCGCCCGGACGGTGTGGAAGCCACCGACAGATACGCTTCGGTCTGTAATGTCCCTGTGCAGCCATGCCCCAGCAAAACGCACCAGACTCCCGGTACTCTGCGTGGCTCCCCGTCAATGCCGTCAGCACGTACATTCCGTTGCTAGAAGACCGCTCATTCACCATAACAACAGAGGGGAGACTTAAAATCTTCTCCTTCTCCATACACCCATCCCGTCTCGACCCTCCTCTCTTCCCCCGACGTTGCTTCCCTCCTCTACATCCACGGTGTGTTTTTCTCCAGAGTTCAGGTGGTAAATCAGCTGCTCTGGCCACTATACCCGTGGAGTAAACAATGACAGCGTGTCCCGGTGGAAGCGGCATTAAAACACGAAAATGAAAAACTCAATCAAACAACATCGTTAGAGAAGGCAGGAGAGTTACAGGGGAAAAAATAAGAACGAACAAAAATAAAATAAAAGTTAGGAAGTTAAAAATAAAAGCAGACTGGAGTAACGTAACAGGAAGCATGCAGCTTTTCGCGCACGCGGCAGGAAACTGAGGATGAAAGATGAATGAAAAGATGAAACTCTCCATGATTGATCCTCAGTTTTGAAGGCTAACATTAGTTAAACTGAAGAAGTGAATCAAGCTAACAAGACAATAAATTCCGGTTCATACAAAGCGCAAAAATTAAATATCAAAATCAAAATCAATCCGGGGCCCGTTATTTAATATCCTCTTTTTGATCTAAGCAATAAATCGAAAGTACAAAAAAAATCAACCGTTATTTGGTTTTTGATATCAGATTCATAAACAAATAAGGAAATAACAAACCGTTTTTCCATTTTGCAATTTTGGAATTTCAATTGAATATGAAAAGAACGAATGATACACGGATTGACTTAACATATTTTAATGCTGAATTGAACTGCAAACAAATTTGAGAATGTTGTACATAAATCCAAACAGAACTTTTTACAATTCCAACAATAGTTCCACAATGATACTTAATTACAGTGGACAGGACGAATACAGGACAGAAGCAAGTGCTGCATACTATTTATTTGAGTAATATAAATTACACTTATTGGTTGCCTCCAATTGTTACTTTAGAAGGCGTAGCCAAATGCAATTAACAGGCAAACAAATTTGGGATTTTTGCACATACAACCACATTGCACCTATGTGTAACATTTCATAAAATTCTACCTACAATATCTCCACCATGTGGTCATTAATAAAACTCCAACATATTGCTTGAACGCAGTATTCAATCACCACCAACTTTGGGTGTATTTTCAGACGTCAGACGAATCACAAACCCTTCTTAAAAAAAGTTTTAGTTTTTAAAAGGTCCTCTCTGCTGTGTGTGGTTGTGTTAAAGGCTGAGGTGATCTTATATGAACAGTGGCAAGTTAAAGCCGAGGTGATGTAGTTGGACAGAGACTGTTTCTGTGTGGAACATAACATTTAACTAAAATCACCATAGCAGTGTAGAACATGAGTAACACAGTAACCTAACATAAACCATAACAAAATCACAATAATAAAACAAGATCAATACATTACATTTACAAAAGTTAAGCAGTCCAGTGCTTAGTCATGAACACAGTTAAACTGTGTGCAGCTATTTATGCCCACTATGTTCAGTGGTGTAGTGGTTCCTGGAGGAATTAGTAAACCCTTGCTGAGTTGTTAGCCAGCGATCCTGTAAGCCGGGCAGGGGAAAGTTGTTTTCCATTGTCACATTGTTATCACTCACTCTGATTCAGAATAGTTACAGACCTAGCCGCCAGACACTGTTGTTCTGATGTCATAGTGCATCTCTGATGTCTAGTTTCTAGTCTGTAATAGCTGAACAGGATTCTTAATTTCCTGCTGCTCTCTTGTGTGAGTTCTCATGTGTCTCTGCATAGCACTTTTAATACAGAAGCTTTAACTGCAGACTGAGCTGAATGTGTGAGTTGTCATGTGCTCCTCTAGAGTACTCTTTTTAACGAAGTTTTGTTGGCATACTGAGCAGCTGAAAGGTTTCTCACCAGTGTGAGTTCTCATGTGTAACTGCAGAATACGCTTTAAATGGAAGCTTTTATGACACCCTGAGCAGCTGAATGTTTTCTCACCTGTGTGAGTTCTCATGTGCAACTGCAGATTACTCTTATGTCCAAAGCTTTTATCACACACTGAGCAGCTGAATGGTTTCTCACCAGTGTGAATTCTCATGTGTAACCGCAGATTAGTCTTTACAGTAAAGCTTTTACTACACACTGAGCAGCTGAATGGTTTCTCACCCGTGTGACTTCTCATGTGTAACTGCAGATGACTCTTTTGTCCAAAGCTTTTATCACACATTGAGCAGCTGAACGGTTTCTCACCAGTGTGAATTCTCATGTGTAACCGCAGATTAGTCTTAACACTAAAGCTTTTACTACACACTGAGCAGCTGAATGGTTTCTCACCTGTGTGAGTTCTCATGTGTGACTGCAGAGTACTCCTATATCCAAAGCTTTTATCGCAAACTGAGCAGCTGAATGGTTTCTCACCAGTATGACTTCTCATGTGTCTGCAGAGCACTCTTATGATTGAAGCTTTTATCACACACTGAGCAGCTGAACGGTTTCTCACCAGTGTGAGTTCTCATGTGTAACCGCAGATTAGTCTTTACACTAAAACTTTTACTACACACTGAGCAGCTGAACGGTTTCTCACCAGTGTGAGTTCTCATGTGTAACCGCAGATTAGTCTTTACACTAAAGCTTTTACTACACACTGAGCAGCTGAATGGTTTCTCACCTGTGTGAGTTCTCATGTGTAACTGCAGATTAGTCTTTAGACTAAAGCTTTCATCAGGCTGTGAATGTTCATCTGGATATGAGTTTCTGGCTGGCTCTGGGCCTCCACAGTCCTCTCCATCATCTGTTTCCATCTGTTCAGTTTGTCTTTGAGGAAGCTGTGAGGACTGAGATTTCTCTTCATCATCATCATGTTCACTCTTCACAGGGACAGAAGTGAAGGTGAACCCTTGAAGCTGTTCTCCCTCCTGACTGGTCCTGAATTCCTCCTGTTCCTCTTTAATGTGTGGGGGGCTCTGGGTCCTCAAGGTCCAGACTGGGTCTCCACTCCTGCTGCTGCTCAGGGGGAACCTCTTCTTTAATCACCAACAGCTGCTGGACGTCTGCAGGACACAGTAAACACAAAGATAGACATTACGGAAAACCACCACTTTCTGTTAAATCCAGACTGGATAACTGTGGGATCATCATCAGGCTGAAGATGTCATTCAGTGGAAACACATTGGAACCAAGTTGAAATCTGTTGACAAGGTCTCATGAGGATTATCAGCAGAAAACTTTGTGGAAAGTAAGCAATGATTAAAAGGATCAGAGTTTCTTCTGAACAAGGCAGAAGATTCTTCAACTTTTAATGGTGCGGTCTGCTGCCACAGCAAGGGAAAGTTGGAGGACAGTAAAGGGTCAACATGGTGGTGTAGTGGGAAAATGCATTCAGAAATAAGGTTCTGCGAACATGCAGCAAACTATATTACGTTGTGCTATTTTATGTTTAATTTTACAGGCTTACAGTATAATATTTTATGTTCATCAATGTTAACCCTCATGTATTCACACTCTGGTTGTCTCACACTAGGTAGGAGAGTTGTTATTCACTGTGCCATGAGCTAAGCATATTCCAAAGACCAGGGCTGTCTCCTGGGGAGTGAGGCATCAGATGTGTTATGACTATTAGGACGGGCCTCTGCCCCCACTGCTAAAAAAAATCCTAGAGGAAACACTGGAAAGTGCTGGGAATATTTAAGTTCTCATCTTGTTAAATATCAGACCTTATTAAACACATGCCTCAAACTTACAAAACATTGATGAGTCAAACAAGTTCTGTAGCTTTACAAAAGGAATATGCTACAACTTCTGTAAAAATGAATAAATAAAATATAAAAAAATAAAATGTGTGCTTCCTGTTTTACAGGGGTAGCTATACTAAACAGACATCTTCTGTTAAAATAAGTGCTTCCAATGCACAAAGTGCAATCTCTTAGTGTAACATAAATTTTCATACTACTAATATACAACTGTAAGGTTTTTGAAACTAGTATGATTTAACCCACTGGTAACAAAAAAGTGCAATCTTACGACTGTAAAGTTGCATCAACTCCTGAATGAAACTACAACAGTCCACTGTGAAAATGAAAACTATAACCGCGTACCCTAACACTGGCCAATCATTCGCCATCCTCATCCTCCATCCCCTCTCCCTCAGCGTCCATCTCCTCCCCCTCCTCCATCTCCAGCAAATGAGACTGATTTGCGGGCTTCATTATGGCTTCATCGCGGGGTCGATGATGTTCACTTCGCGTAATTACATCACTTCATAACGTTCCCATGGCAACAGGGTAAAATGGCTGCTCTTGTGTGAAGTAAATGCAACATTTTTCAACTTTCTGCTAAGACAGTGGTGGAGTAGGCTACAGGATGGGAGGAGAAAATATCGAAATGCAAGTGGTTGGACTATTATAACACACAAACAAATCATCCTCCTGGCGAATTTTTTTTGTCAAAAGCGACTGGCGACAAATCTAGCGACTTTTACTGGTGTTATTGGAGACTTTTGTGGTGTGTGGAGACTCTGACTTGAAAGCACGTATCACTCTGCAGTTACTGTGCAACGAGCAGCGGGTGCTGCCGTGAGCCCCTCACCTGTCCAAAAGCACTCACAGGCGGTCAGTCTCTCAGTAGTCTTGCACAGCAGTCCCAGCCTGCAGTCAGAGCAGAGACACCACTCCGCCTCCAGGCTGCAAATGAATCACGCATGTGCATGGCCGCTGCCGTTTCCGCCCTGCCTTACAGAGCGGGGTGTAAATGTAAATGTTTTTTCACTCACTCACACAAAAATAAATCACTGCATTTGACTCACATAGCTCCATTCACTCTAGTCTAGTCTCTTGCCAAGTTCGCTTGTGCCAGCTCTTGCTAGTCTAACTGTTATCAATCTCAATATCAATTTACTTAGGCCTATACTTCAAAACCCAGTCTTTTTAAAGACTAATCCCAGTCTTTTTAAAGATTATCCCCATCTCAGCCCTAGCCAGTAATTTTTTAACTGCTAGGCAGTGCACTAACTACCCCTCTGCCTTTTTCACCGTGTTGCAATACCCACGCGGCTAAGACACACACACACACACACAGACAAAGGACTACAATCGTTAAGTCTTAAAATAAAATCTGCATTGCCTGCAAAATCATTATTTTGTTCGTTGTATTAAAGATCGTGCCTATGTCCCGACTGATTAGCCCCCGACACTAGTCTCTCAACATAGCAACACACACGCACACATCGTTACATCATAGCCTAAACTTTATTGAAAACACAACTAATCCACATCCAAATTATTTCAAAACCAAACAAAAATGGAGAGATTTCTAGTGAGGACCAACAAGGCAACCGACGCACCACCAGCTGCAAAAAAGCTTCGAAGTTACGATGAAGCATACCTGCAGTTTGGGTTACAGTCACGGCTGATCTGAGACCTCAGTGTGTCGTGTGTGTCGAGGTGCTGGCAAACGACAGCATGAAGCCCTGCAAACTAAAAAGGCACCTCGAAACAAGGCATGCTGGCATTAAGGATAAACCGGCTGAATATTTCAAAAGAAAGCTTGATGGCCTCCATCAGCAACAGGCAACCATTTCAGTGCACAGCACTGTGTCTAAACAGTGTTTGGAGGCATCGTATGTAGTGGCCAAAATAATAGGTAATCTGGGTAAACCGAATACAATTGCCGAGACTATTTTTTTCCGGCCACGCAAGACATGCAGAATAATGATAGGAAATAGTGCAGCAGCCAAACTCGGTGCAGTACCACTGTCCAATGACACAGTCGCTAGGAGAATTTCAGACATGTCTAATGATATCAGAGAGCAACTGATAGTTCATAAAAAAAGAGTCCTTACTACGCGCTGCAGCTGGACGAATCCATTGATATTGCTGGGCAGGCACAGCTCCTCACCTATGTCAGGTATCTGCGGGGCAAGGCCATTGAGGAGGATGTCCTGTTTTGCCGGCCTCTTCAGTCGCACACTACAGGAGAAGCCATCTTCAATGTCCTTGATATTTTTATCCGTGAAAATGGTTTGACTTGGGACCGATGCGGTGGCCTATGCACGGATGGTGCGCGGGCAATGATGGGCCGTGAGCGTGGCCTAGCTGCTTGCGCGTACAGCGGTTGTATGAGCTGCGAGAGGAGGTGAAGTGGTTTTTTTCTCTGTCCTACTTGGTCGATATATTTCACTCAACCTGTCTTTGCAAGGCCGCGAAACTCATATTTTGCTCCTCGCAGACAGAGTGGACGCCTTCACACAAAAACTTGACCTCTGGCATGGCCGCATCAGTTGAGGGAACTGTGACATGTTCCCCAGCCTTGCAGACTTTATCACTGATGCTAATTAATGTGTTTTACAGCATGTCCATGGTCTTTCTAAGTATGTTGCATCATTTTAATTATCCTGCATTAAAATATTACATATATATTGTATTGCTATGCTAATGAAGACTGCTTGAATGGCCTCAACCTGTCTTTGCAAGGCCGCGAAACTCATATTTTGATCCTCGCAGACAGAGTGGACGCCTTCACACAAGGCAAAGCAGGCTCAGGTCTCACATTAACATCGCCTACCTACAAGCTTCTGTAAAAAATGCAGATGATAAGCCTACTACATCACACCTGTTCCCTCTTTATAATGGCTTGCCCTTTCTTGGAGGATGTACTGGATGAGGAAGCCCTAATCCTCAGACGAGCATTTAGTCATGAAAGAGTCTTCTGGGACAGGTCAGACCCATTGGCCGTTGGAGATGACTATCTCATTGAGAGATACAGATTCTCAGGTGATGAACTAAGATATTTATGTAGGCTGCTGGGTCCAAAAATACAGCACCAGACGGCAGAAAGACATGCTCTCAATGTACCACAGATGGTCTGTGGTACAGAGATGTTTTGCAAGTGGGAGCTTCCTTTATTCTGTTGGGGATGCAGAGAACCTCAATAAAGGAACCATTTGCTGCACATATTCTGGCTTGGTGGGCCGCCCCCTCTGACAGTTCTATGGGCTTTTTTTTAACTGCTACAATCATACAGACATTTAACATGTCAGCAGACACCTAATCTATTCACCTCATTTGTTCACTGTTATCTACTTTAGAGTCACTTACCAGCCTGCAAAATGTTCTTGTATTTAACTTTAACTTGCTGCCAGGTCCTTTTATGGCCAGACAAGTTTGTTCTTTATGAAGGATAGAAAGATAAAATAGATAAAAATAAATTAAATGACACACATTGTGGATAATTATTTGCACTTAATCATACTTTATATTTTCTGAGTAACATGCACCTCTACTTGCCACATTTAAAGCAAAGTGTACAACAGTTGATTAGTTTACTTAAAGTAACTCCTTTAGTCCTTTAATTGGATCCTAATTATGACAGTTCCAGTGGAGCACTGTTTATTCATTGTACAGTTTTGGACTACTTAACACTTAAGCATTAAGCCGGTCCGCTATTGTCTGCCAGGCTTTCTCTCTTTCTTTAATTTTAGCATTGGTATTGCCTTTTTTTCTTATATCTTCCACCTCTTCATAGAACTCCATCAGGAGCTGTTGTTCAACGGCCGTGAAATATGAAGCGCGACTCTTATCCATGTTCCCATCGGTGATTCTGTGGGCGATTGCGAGGTCTATTTCAGTATGCCGTGAACACGCACTTATCCCGACTATCTACACCTGGCTTAACATAGCCGCACTTTTTAATCCTGGCTCGGCAAACGTGCAACCAATTAAGCCAGGATGTGCCGAGCAGGCTAAGTCAAGCCGCGCTTGCTCACTTATCCTGGATTTCTTTATCCTACTTTTGTGCAATACCCCACAGCTTGCAAAAGGTTGAGAACCCCTAACCCCCCTCATATTTTGCGCGTAAATCTGCAATTTATGCGGCGAAAGTGCAGCGTATTTGAAAAAATGCGGCCCTCGCATAAATATGCGGACTTTGGCTGATTATGCATTGAACTATGCAATCGCATAATCGCCTTTTCTGGAGGGACTGGATGACAGCGCAAGCAATCTGACCGCACTTGTTCCAGATCATCCTGTATCCAACAGCCAGAAACCTATGAACAAAGCATGCCGCAGATGTGGGGCTCATGACGTCAGCAGGCCAAGTACTCATCCGACTCAAACCTAACATACTTTTACCATGAAAGAAACAATAGCCACTGACATTTCAAGAAATCACAGAAATTACAAGTACAATATCAGACCTGTTGGAAGCTATTGTGATGTGCTGCAATATCTCCATATTTTCCTGTGGAAAAGAGTACACTCGTCTGCCACAAGGCAACAATCAGTCGCCATCAATTTTTAATTGATTGCAGACAGATTTGTGAGAATTAGACAGAGTTAACTGTGTTACAGTACGTAGATGACATTTTGATATACTCAGTGACCCGCGAACCGCCATCTAACAACTGGAAATGACAGGTTACAGCTGCCCATGGCTATCTGACTACACTTTTGATCAGAAGCAATGTAAGACTTAATCAAAACCTCAGTGCTAAACAAAACTACACATTTGCAATGGAATGCATGGCAGGCATCTGCTCAACTTAAAGGTGATTTATCCAACTGCTCCTGCACTTACGAATCAAGATTATGCTTATTACAAGGCGTCAACCATTACTATGGGACATGAGGTATTTTTGTACACAAATCATGCACTACATGCGCTTCTTGCACCAAACTTTGTAAAAAAAACATATGCACAATGCACAGGGTACAACATCATCCTCTCAGCCCCGGAAATCACCATACTATGGTGTCAAGCATTCAAACCTCCTACATGATGGAACTCCATATGATTGTGTGGCAGTTTCGGAGGCGTATCTAAAGACCTAAAGGGATCTTTTAGCCGAATCACTGCCAGGAGCACAACTTTTATTGTTGGTGAAAGGGAACGCTGTTGTTGCACCAACAGCAGACATGTTAGAATTTGAAACATTGCTGTCGCAGACGCTGTATACTTCCCTTTTAGCACAAGCAGCAGAACTTAGGGCTTTAGCTTTTTTTTAACGGTTAAGGATGACGATAGCACCATTTCAATGCGTGCCCTGGCTGAGGTACAGTCGACTGCCTCTGCAGAGGAGAAACAACTCTGGTTGAGTTGGAGTTGTTAAAGACTGCTCCACTGGTCGGTTTTGGTCAGCCACAGGGTTGTTGGTGGCACATGCAGCTTTGGTACCACAGTTGTTTGTTGTTGCGCATGGTATTTACCATGTTGAAAGGGGGAAAGTAGTGAAAGTGTTACAAAACATGTGGTGGTCTCCATAGACGGTCGCTACAGTTAAAAAAATACATACAGATACAATCATGTGAAATCTGCATAGAGCCTAACATCAGATAGCCTAAAAGCAAAGTAAAACCTTTACAAATAAACAACAACAACAACAACAACAACAAAGCCTGATACCATAACGGTAACAAAACTGTATAAAATTGGAAAATAGTTCTGATAACTAATTTTGACAATGCTGTAATAAGGAAGATATCAAACACTAAGAATCAAACATAAGCTGGGAAGTGTGTACCATCCCCAATCACAAGGTCTAGTGGAAAGAGCTCATGGAGCGTTGAAAATCTGCAGGGAAACTAAGATGGACAGAGTGACTGCGTTGCCACTTGCACTAATGAGTATGAGAATGCCCACCTTACCCCGTATGAAATGCTAACAGGGCGACCTATGCCAGCGTCACATTTGAGAGGATCCCAAAGGGGCTGCCACTTGTATGTGAAATACAGGAGGCAGAAGAAGATGACACTAATGTAAAAATACTCATATGAAATATACAATGCTTTAAGTACATCATCTTGGCTCGGGAAGTAACAAAGGGGAGGAAAAATGTAATGCATTTATGTAACCAGTTCCTGGATCAGTTTCAGTGAAGTTGGAAGTGATTGAACAACCAGACTGTGTGACGTTACACTGTGTTGGAATAAATGAACTTAATGTTGTTCAATGACTAGTTGACGAGGAAAACATTTATTACTTTATGGGTGGAGAAAATTCTCCTAATTCTAAATAAACTATTTAAAAACCCTCCTGGATGAGCAGGAAAATGCATCGTCACTGCTGTAGATTAAAGTAGCAACAGTATATAAAGTAGTTCAACATCTACATCCACATGAATGCAGCAGTAATATTGATCCATCAGATATAATAGTCCAACCTGTTCCTGCACTATCACTACTTTTCCTTTGAGTCCATTGTGCTGATCATCCTGTTACTGCAGTAAAGGCTGTGAATACTACTTCCAGCTCAGAGTGTGAACAGTGAGAGAAGAAGCAGTACAGTGAACCAACCTGCTCTGTGTAACCGAAGTTGAGGGTTGAAAACAGCGTCCAGTAGTTTCCGTTGTCGCTCGTTCTCCTCTTTTGAACGACAAAGTTCCTCCTCGTACTCTGCTATCGTTCTTTCAAACAGCCCAAATATCTCTTCAGCAGCCGCAGTTAGTCGCTGCTTCACCAACGCTCTCAGCATTTGGACTTTACACATTTTCACACAATCACACAAACTCCGTCAAAAACACTGTTTCCACTATGTAAAATTGGCTTCAAAGACCGGTGTACTTTGTTGGCTCGTTACTGTGGATGTCACACACACTTTCTCAGCACGGCAACACTGTGCTTCTTCTTCGTGGTGTTTAATGGCGGCTGGCAAACAACGTTATGGAGCATTAGCGCCACCAACTGTTATGGAGTGTGTATCGGGAATCTGACTATACATTCACTAATACTACTAATAAATAACAGAAGATGAGGACAAATAAAGTTATATTATTTCTATTAAGTTGAGATATTGAAGCGAATAGAGATAAAACACTTCTCCCCAGAACTTCTTTGTAAAAGATCTCATAAGTCAAAGCTCAGCTTTATTTCTTTCAGCTTCAGTATCAGTTCCCTTCCCTCAGCAACACATTTTGGACAGTAAACCAGAACATGTTGTAAAGTTTCTTCTTGATCACAAATTCACTCCTTCCTGTATTATGTGTTCCTATTTTAAATAATGTTTAATCTGACCTAATAGTAACCTTGATATTATTATTGTAATAAATGTATATTTGTGCCTAAGCCGCCCAATAGGCTACCAGAAACCGTGTGGGGAAATTGTAACAAAATTGGAAAACAATCTTCATTTCATTATTGTGATCAGGGTTTCTGGAGTCCAAGTGGACAGGAGAGCACAATACGATACACAAAAAATACACTGCAATACAACAGCAGCGTGCTGGACGTGGCAGCCAAATAGGAAAGCGGTGGCAGCTTGCGCTCCTATAGCACCAGCAGTGGCTAAATGCAGGAGGCAGCAGACTCTTTGAAATGAAGTTAAAACACCTCTGAGACTGTTATTATTTATCATATTTTGGTGAATCTGTAGATACAGGGAAGAGATCAATGCTGTACATACATAGCAGACGTCAGGGCTTTAGATACAGGGCATAGGTGTGTGCTGTAGATGCAGCTCTACACCACCATGTGGTCGTTATTAATTTTTTATGAATTGTTAGGAGTAGAAGAAACATTTTTATACAGTGGGTTCCTTGGTCAATACTAATTTTACTGATATAGGCCACGCCCATTCACGCCTTTTTAGGCACATATTTCATCCAATCTTCACCAAACTTGTAGCTTTGTGTTTTACTTATTGCATGTTGTACATAAACTCACATTGCCCGTGTGTGTAACATTCATAAAATTCTACCTACAATAGTTCCACCTTTTGGCCATTAATATAACCTCACCATATCTCTTGAACACAGTATTCAATTACCACAGGTTTTGGGTTTTATTTTTAGACGTGAATCACAAACACTTTGTGCTGGGACTCTTTCAGAAACTGGGCCGGTGAACAGCTGTAACAGTGGCAACAGCAGATGCAGCAATAGCAAACATTTTCTTCAGGAAATGCAAATACTGTGTGTTGATGTTGATGTTCTGCCCTCTAGTGTCAGAAACCAGCAACTACAGTCTGTGTTGATTTACTGTGAGGAACGATCAGATTAACATTTACAGACTGCCACAGTTTCAGTTCCTTATATAACTCTCAGTGTTATAAACGTATACAAACATCTATGATAGATCAGATTTTATGTAGGAACGCAGAATGTTTAATGCCGTTTGAAGCAACAATATAGAAACAAAACAAAGGTCCTTTTATGAAAATAAAGTTTATTGATGGCAACCTGAAACTTTAAGATACATGGACCCATAAACTGACATTAATGATTATGTTTTATAATGTTTCCTGTTAGTAACAATGTAGATTCCACACATTCAAACACCACACAGGGTGATCGATAAAACACAGACAAAATAAAGTACAGAAAATACAACAATGATCATTCTACTGATTAAACAGACAAAGAATTTAAAATATTCACCAAAAACAAAAAAAGAACTTCTGCACATTGTGGTAATTAAAACTATTTAAAGGGTCATCAAACTTTGGAGGAGCAATCAATTAATTCTGGCTATCAAAATGATCAAAGAAAATTAAAAATAACAGTAATCAATATCCGTATACGTATTATATCAGAAGGTCCTCAGGACACCACCCTTAAAAGGAAAACTATTAACTGAATGATACTCAGTCTCATAGAATATACAAAACAATTAATCTGAAACACTAATTTATTTATTCAAAAACTATAACTAAGTTCATCATGTTCACATTAAGTCAGCTGAAGGATTTGTAGCTCAACATAGAGTTTGGTATCCTTCACATTTGTGGAATATTTAATAAACCAGCATGTATATTTGATAGCATTTATTAAAAATATAAAGTATAAACACAATATGATCAAACTACAATGCACTAAACTAAATAAAAAAACAGAGTGTGTGTTGCACATTATGTTGAGCTTGTTCAGCAGAGACAAAGCAGAGTTTTAAAGGTTCTCTCTGCTGTGTGTGGTTGTGTTAAAGGCCGAGGTGATCTTATATGAAAAGTGGCAAGTTAAAAAAAGTTTGTTGTACAAAGACTGTTTCTGTGTGGAACATAACATTTAACTAAGATCACCATAGCAGTGTAGAACATGAGTAACACAGTAACCTAACATAAACCATAACAAAATCACAACAATAAAACCAGATCAATACATTACAGTTACAAAAGTTAAGCAGTCTCGTGCTTAGTCATGAACACAGTTAAACTGTGCGCAGCTATTTATGCCCACTATGTTCAGTGGTGTAGTGGTTCCTGGAGAAATGGGTAAACTCTTGCTGAGTTGTTAGCCAGTGATCCCGTAAGCCAGGCAGGGGAAAGTTGTTTTCCATTGTCACATTGTTATCACTCACTCTGATTCAGAATAGTTACAGACCTAGCCGCCAGACACTGTTGTTCTAATGTCATGGTGCATCTCTGATGTCTAGTTTCTAGTCTGTAATAGCTGAACAGGATTCTTAATTTCCTGCTGCTCTCATGTGTCTCTGCATAGTACTTTTAATACAGAAGCTTTAACTGCAGACTGAGCTGGATGTGTGAGTTGTCATGTGCTCCTCGAGAGTACTCTTTTTAACGAAGTTTTGTTGGCATACTGAGCAGCTGAATGGTTTCTTACCTGTATGAGTCTTCATGTGCCTCTGCAGATGACTCTTTTGTCCAAACCTTTTATCGCACACTGAGCAGCTGTACTGTATCCCACCAATATGACTTTGCATGTGCATCTGCAGATGACTCTTTTGACGGAAGCTTTTATGACACACTGAGCAGTTGAAAGGTTTCTCACCAGTGTGAGTTCTCATGTGATCCTGCAGACCATGCTTATATCCAAAGCTTTTATCGCACACTGAGCAGCTGAATGGTTTCTCACCTGTGTGAGTTCTCATGTGTAACTGCAGAGTATGCTTTAGACGGAAGCTTTTATGACACACTGAGCAGCTGAATGGTTTCTCACCTGTGTGAGTTGTCATGTGATGCTTAAGAATACCCTTTAGACTGAAGCTTTTATCACACGCTGAGCAGCTGAATGGTTTCTCACCTGTGTGAGTTCTCAGGTGTCTACGTAAACCTCGTCTCCATGAAAAACATTTCTTACAAACTGAACAGCTGAAAGGCTTTATATTGGGGACATCACCTGACTGAGGTTCCCTGGTGTCTTTAAAATCATTGTCACTATCATCAGTCTCAGATTCAGAAGAGTCTTCAGTCTTACCATCCGTATCAGGTTGTGAATGTTCATCTGAGTTTCTGGCCGGTTCTGGTCCTCCACAGTCCTCTCCATCATCTGTTTCCATCTGTTCAGTTTGTCTTTGAGGAAGCTTTGAGGACTGAGGTTTCTCTTCATCATCATCTTCACTCTTCACAGGGACAGGAGTGAATGTAAACCCTTGAAGCTGCTCTCCCTCCTGACTGGTCCTGACTTCCACCTGTTCCTCTTTAACGTGTGGGGGCTCTGGGTCCCCCTGTTCCAGACTGGGTCTCCACTCCTGCTGCTGCTCAGGGGGAACCTCTTCTTTAATCACCGACAGCTGCTGGACATCTGCAGGACACAGTAAACACAAAGATGGACATTATGGAAAACCACCACTTTCTGTTGAATCAAGACTGGATAACTGTGGGATCATCATCAGGCTGAAGATGTCACTCACTGGAAACACATTGGAACCAAGTTGAAATCTGTTGACAAGGTCTCACGAGGATTATCAGCAGAAGACTTCATGGAAAGTAAGCAATGATTAAAAGGATCAGAGTCTCTTCTGAACAAGGCAGAAGATTCTTTAACCTTTAATGGTGCGGTCCGCTGCCACAGCAAGGGAAAGTTGGAGAACAGTAAAGGGTCAACATGCCGGTCGAAAGGATTCTGCCAGATTTGTTCCCGCTTACCAATGTGGGAGTGGACTACTTCGGCCAAATAAATGGAAACATCACCCAAAGATTCTTCATTGGTTCACTACGCATAAAAAACAATATTTTTCAATTTTCACTATGTTGGAACATTTTAATTGAATGGGTAGTTACAATAATACTAGTTAGTAGATACAGTCAATGGAATTTCAGAGTTATTAATTTACTTTAAAGCCAAGAACCTAAATTAAATCTAAAGTACTATTATTTGTTATTTCAAAGTCCAACATATTTAAATATCTGCAGTCATAATGTCGGGTAAACAGAGATGTCAGTGCTACATCCGCAGTTTTGGAGACTTGAATTTTTTCAACAAACTGGTCAAAACGCTTTTTGTCCCAATGATGTTGCAACATGATTCCACAATCAGGTTAATATTGTAGTGATGGAAGTTTCTGTAAGCGTCTATAAGTACCGCGGATGGGTTTACATTAGAGTCAATAGAAATCCTGGTGCGTCCCATAGAGTCGGTGATGGGTACCATATGCGGCTGTATGGGACGTCAAAAGGAAAGAGACAAAGCGTCAGTCTTCGACGAATTGGGAATGAGGTATGCTTGTTTCTGTGAAGCAACAAATTGTAGCACTGTGCCCAAGAAAAGTTTCCCCTCGGGGACAATAAAGTTATTTCTGTTCTATTCTATTATGATTTCTATTAATAGTAATTAGGGATCGACCGATATGGATTTTTTATGGCCGATGCCGATGCCGATTTTTTTTTCATCAACCTTAGCCGATGACCGATACGGACTGCCGATTTTCTTGAGCCGATATTTGGAGCCGATACTACTTTTGCTCCCTCAATTTACATCATAAAAATTACACAATGATGATAACAAATGTTACGAGTCTCAATTATAAAAAAAGGAACATTTATTGAAATTAAAAAAGGTGAGTCAGAACAAGAACAAGTAAACAATATTTAATAAATATTAAAAACAGGTGAGGTAGAACAAGTTAAAAAAGAGTTTACCATTTGGACCCACAAACTTGCTAAGCTATAGTTTCAGGCAAAACACATAAAGAGCATGCATTTGGCATTTGTGTTTCCACTTTCAAAGTGTATGGCAATATTTCAGCTAAGTTAAACAGTTAAAAGATGCTTTGAAAGTTTAAAACTTAGAGTTGTGTTGAAGAGCAGGCTTCCAGCACTCTCCTAGTGGGGGAGGGGCTATGCATGCATAATGCTGGATCGGCGAACGCAGCAGCCCGTATCGGCCGATGCCGATACACGTAAAAACCGCAAAAATCTGCCGATAATATCGGCCGGCCGATGTATTGGTTGATCACTAAATGTGAGTCACCAATTTTTCCATTTCTATTACTACTTTAACCTCCCCTCAGGGTACATTTTATTTTTAGTGACATTGAAACAAGAATATTACAAAGGTGTAGGCGACTGTACTGACTGAATACATATTGAACAATTAAATAGGCTAAAGACTGAAGCTTCGTGAACGAAGGTTCCACAGATTATTATTTTGTTTCAAGTGAATCAAAAGATAAAATAGTTATTATTAATAATAACTATTATCAATCACAGCACACAGCTCGGATTGTGAATGTGCGTTATCATTTCATGTTATGAATATATCCAAGATGAGTCATCTAAGGTGGCGCCACATGCGGTCGCCTCTGTTTTTCTTGTTTTGTTTGTTAACTCAGTTTTTCAGCTGTGATACCCGGAGCTCTTTCACTAGAGAAGAGCTCATGAATATCAGGGGAACAACTCAAGCTGATCTGTGAAACTTCACCATCAGTTCTCAGCCAACAACTCTGGTTCTGTCTGGAAGAGGCTCAGACAGATAACCAACTACAAACATAACCCCCCCTCCAGTAATGAGTTGCGCCTAGCAAACGAGCTGAATGAGACAGACAAAAGGAGCAGTCCTGAGACCCCTCACCAGTCCCCCCCCCCCAGCTCAGCAGGAGCCGGGGCCACTTCACAACGCCACATCTCTGTGAATCCCTCCGCCACCACCACAGTGACGACTCTCTGCCTCCAACAGATATTTATATATATAATTATATGTTAAAGTTTAAATAATCATACCTAGAGGCATTACGTCTCTCGTATTGACTTGCCTTAACTGGACATAATGCACATTATTATATAACGTCCATATGTGCAATAGATAGTCGAATAGATCAATTATATGTGGGTTTATTGGAAAGCATAATCAATCACTTTTGTCCAACTCTGACAGCCGTACTGCCTCCACACTCACACAGTGACGCACAGCATCAGGAGCAGTTCACACTTCATCTATGTGAAGAATGATAATATGAAATTTGATTGTAGCTTACAGTCAAATGCTCAGTTTGATGATGAAATGTATTTGTTGTTTATTTCTGACTTTTAGAGCTCGGTGGTTCTCACAGGACAAACATATGATGATCTTATAGAATCTGACACGTTGCTGTAGATTAAATAAAGTAGTTCAACATCTACATCCACATGAATGCAGCAGTAATATTGATCCATCAGATATAATAGTCCAACCTGTTCCTGCACTATCACTACTTTTCCTTTGAGTCCATTGTGCTGATCATCCTGTTACTGCAGTAAAGGCTGTGAATACTACTTCCAGCTCAGAGTGTGAACAGTGAGAGAAGAAGCAGTACAGTGAACCAACCTGCTCTGTGTAACCGAAGTTGAGGGTTGAAAACAGCGTCCAGTAGTTTCCGTTGTCGCTCGTTCTCCTCTTTTGAACGACAAAGTTCCTCCTCGTACTCTGCTATCGTTCTTTCAAACAGCCCAAATATCTCTTCAGCAGCCGCAGTTAGTCGCTGCTTCACCAACGCTCTCAGCATTTGGACTTTACACATTTTCACACAATCACACAAACTCCGTCAAAAAAAAAATTGGTCTGTTTCCAACGGGACACGTTGTTACTGTGCTTCTTCTTCGTGGTGTTTAATGGCGGCTGGCAAACAACGTTATGGAGCATTAGCGCCACCAACTGTTATGGAGTGTGTATCGGGAATCTGATCAACATTCACTAATACTACTAATAAATAACAGAAGATGAGGACAAATAAAGTTATATTATTTCTATTAAGTTGAGATATTGAAGCGAATAGAGATAAAACACTTCTCCCCAGAACTTCTTTGTAGAAGATCTCATAAGTCAAAGCTCAGCTTTATTTCTTTCAGCTTCAGTATCAGTTCCCTTCCCTCAGCAACACATTTTGGACAGTAAACCAGAACATGTTGTAAAGTTTCTTCTTGATCACAAATTCACTCCTTCCTGTATTATGTGTTCCTATTTTAAATAATGCTTAATCCTGTATGACCTAATAGTAACCTTGATATTATTATTGTAATAAATGTATATTTGTGCCTAAGCCGCCCAATAGGCTACCAGAAACCGTGTGGGGAAATTGTAACAAAATTGGAAAACAATCTTCATTTCATTATTGTGATCAGGGTTTCTGGAGTCCAAGTGGACAGGAGAGCACAATACGATACACAAAAAATACACTGTACATACAATTACAATGTGTATTAAACCTACCCAGGGTCTAGGCAGGAAACGCCAACAGCAGCGTGCTGGAGGTGGCAGCCAAACTGGAAAGCGGTGGCAGCTTGCGCTCCTATAGCACCAGCAGTGGCTAAATGCAGGAGGCAGCAGACTCTTTGAAATGAAGTTAAAACACCTCTGAGACGGTTATTATTTATCATATTTTGGTAAATCTGTAGATACAGGGAAGAGATCAATGCTGTACATACATAGCAGACGTCAGGGCTTTAGATACAGGGCATAGGTGTGTGCTGTAGATGCAGCTCTATGCCACCATGTGGTCGTTATTAATTTTTTATGAATTGTTAGGAGTAGAAGAAACAGTGGGTTCCTTGGTTGATGCTAATTTTACTGATATAGGCCACGCCCATTCACGCCTTTTTAGGCACATATTTTATCCAATCTTCACCAAACTTGTAGCTTCGTGTTTTACTTATTGCATGTTGTACATAAACTCACATTGCACGTGTGTGTAACATTCATAAAATTCTACCTACAATAGTTCCACATTTTGGCCATTAATATAACCTCACCATATCTCTTGAACACAGTATTCAATTACCACAGGTTTTGGGTTTTATCTTTAGACGTGAATCACAAACACTTTGTGCTGGGACTCTTTCAGAAACTGGGCCGGTGAACAGCTGTAACAGTGGCAACAGCAGATGCAGCAATAGCAAACATTTTTTTCAGGAAATGCAAATACTGTGTGTTGATGTTGATGTTCTGCCCTCTAGTGTCAGAAACCAGCAACTACAGTCTGTGTTGACTTACTGTGAGGAAAGATCAGATTAACATTTACAGACTGCCACAGTTTCAGTTTCTTATATAACTCTCAGTGTTATAAACGTATACAAACATCTATGATAGATCAGATTTTATGTAGAAACGCAGAATGTTTAATGCCGTTTGAAGCAACAATATAGAAACGAAACAAAGGTCCTTTTATGAAAATAAAGTTTATTGATTGCAACCTGAAACTTTAGGACACATGAACCCATAAAATGACATTAATGATTATGTTTTATAATGTTTCCTGTAAGTTACAATGTGGACTCAACACATTCAAGCACCACACAGGGTGATCGATAAAACAAAGACAAAATAAAGTACAGAAAATACAACAATGATCATTCTACTGATTAAACAGGCAAAGAATAAAAAATATTCACCAAAAACAAAAAATAAGTTTTGTACATTGTGGTAATTACAATGATTTAAAGGGTCATAAAACTTTGTAGGAGCAATCAATTAATTCTGGCTATCAAAATGATCAAAGAAAATAAAAAATAACAGTAATCAATATCCTTATACGTATTATATTTGAAGTTCCTCGGGACACCACCCTTAAAGGAAAACTATTAACTGAGTGATACTCAGTCTCATTGAATATACAAAACAATTAATCTGAAACACTAATTTATTTATTCAATAACTATAACTAAGTTCATCATGTTCACATTAAGTCAGCTGAAGGATTTGTAGCTCAACATAGAGTTTGGTATCCTTCACGTTTGTGAAATATTTAATAAACCAGCATGTATATTTGATAGCATTTATTAAAAAGATAAAGTATAAACACACAATATGATCAAACTACAATGCACTAAACTAAATAACAAAAACAGAGTGTGTGTGTTGCACTGTATGTTGAGCTTGTTCAGCAGAGACAAATCATTGTTTTAAAGGTCCTCTCTGCTGTGTGTGGTTGTGTTAAAGGCTGAGGTGATCTTATATGAACAGTGGCAAGTTAAAAAGAGTTAGTTGTACAAAGACTGTTTCTGTGTGGAACATAACATTTAACTAAGATCACCATAGGAGTGTGGGACATGAGTAACACAGTAACCTAACATAAACCATAACAAAATCACAACAATAAAACTAGATCAATACATTACAATTACAAAAGTTAAGCAGTCCCGTGCTTAGTCATGAACACAGTTAAACTGTGCGCAGCTATTTATGCCCACTATGTTCAGTGGTGTAGTGGTTCCTGAAGAAATGGGTAAACTCTTGCTGAGTTGTTAGCCTGTGATCCCATAAGCCAGGCAGGGGAAATTTGTTTTCCATTGTCACATTGTTATCACTCACTCTGATTCAGAATAGTTACAGACCTAGCCGCCAGACACTGTTGTTCTAATGTCACAGGACAGGATACTTAATTTCCTGCTGCTCTCTTGTGTGAGTTCTCATGTGTCTCTGCCTAGTACTTTTAATAAAGTAGCTTTAACTGCAGACTGAGCTGGATGTGTGAGTTGTCATGTGGTCCTCTAGAGAACTCTTTTTAATGAAGTTTTGATGGCACACAGAGCAGCTAAAAGGTTTCTTACCAGTATGAGTTCTCATATGTGTCTGCAGAGCACTCTTTTGACTGAAACTTTTATCACACACTGAGCAGCTGAAAGGTTTCTCACCAGTGTGAGTTCTCATGTGCAACTGCAGAGTACGCTTTTGTCCAAAGCTTTTATTGCACACTGAGCAGCTGAATGGTTTCTCACCAGTGTGAGTTCTCATGTGTAACTGCAGAATACGCTTTAAATGGAAGCTTTTATGACACACTGAGCAGCTGAAAGGTTTCTCACCTGTGTGAGTTCCCATGTGATACTGCAGAGTACTCTTTTGTCCAAAGCTTTTATCGCACACTGAGCAGCTGAATGGTTTCTCACCTGTATGAGTTCTCATGTGTTTCTGCAGATTACTCTTTTGTCCAAACCTTTTATCGCACACTGAGCAGCTAAATGGTTTCTCACCAATATGACTTTGCATGTGTCTCTGCAGATGACTCTTACGACTAAAGCTTTTATCACACACTGAGCAGCTGAATGGTTTGTCACCTGTGTGAGTTCTCATGTGTAACTGAAGATTAGTCTTTTGTCCAAACCTTTTATCGCACACTGAGCAGCTAAATGGTTTCTCACCAATATGACTTTGCATGTGTCTCTGCAGATGACTCTTACGACTGAAGCTTTTATCATACACTGAGCAGCTGAATGGTTTCTCACCAGTATGACTTCTCATATGTGTCTGCAGAGTATTCTTTTGTCCAAAGCTTTTATTGCAAACTGAGCAGCTAAACGGTTTCTCTCCTGTGTGAGTTTTCAGGTGTCTACGTAAACCTTGTCTCCTTGAAAAACATTTCTTACAAACTGAACAGCTCAAAGGCTTTATATTGGAAACATCACCTGGCTGAGGTTCCCTGGTGTCTTTAAAATCATTGTCGCTATCATCAGTCCCAGATTTAGAAGAGTCTTCAGTCTTACCATCCGTATCAGGTTGTGAATGTTCATCTGAATCCGAGTTCCTGGCTGGTTCTGGTCCTCCACAGTCCTCTCCATCATCTGTTTCCATCTGTTCAGTTAGTCTTTGAGGAAGCTTCTCTTCATCATCATCATCTTCACTCTTCACAGGGACAGAAGTGAATGTAAACTCTTGAAGTTGCTCTCCCTCCTGACTGGTCCTGACTTCCTCCTGACTGGTCCTGACTTCCTTCCGACTGGTCCTGACTTCCTTCCGACTGGTCCTGACTTCCTTCCGACTGGTCCTGACTTCCTCCTGACTGGTCCTGACTTCCTCCTGTTCCTCTTTAATGTGTGGGGGCTCTGGGTCCTCCTGGTCCAGAGTGGGTCTCCACTCCTGCTGCTGCTCAGGGGGAACCTCTTCTTTAATCACCGACAACTGCTGGACATCTGCAGGACACAGTAAACACAAAGATAGACATTATGGAAAACCACCACTTTCTGTTGAATCCAGACTGGATAACTGTGGGATCATCATCAGGCTGAAGATGTCACTCAGTGGAAACACATTGGAACCAAGTTGAAATCTGTTGACAAGGTCTCACGAGGATTATCAGCAGAAGACTTCATGGAAAGTAAGCAATGATTAAAAGGATCATAGTGTCTTCTGAACAAGGCAGAAGATTCTTTAACCTTTAACGGTGCGGTCCGCTGCCACAGCAAGGGAAAGTTGGAGAACAGTAAAGGGTCAACATGCCGGTCGACAGGATTCTGCCAGATTTCTTCCCGTTTACCAACGTAGGAGTGGACAACTCCGGACAAATAAATGGGAACATCACCCAAAGATTCTTCATTGGTTCACTACGCATAAAAAACAATATTTTTCAATTTTCATTATGTTGGAACATTTTAATTGAATGGGTAGTTACAATAATACTAGTTAGTAGATACAGTCAATGGAATTTTAGAGTTATTAATTTACTTTAAAGCCAAGATCCTAAATTAAATCTAAAGTACTACTATTTGTTATTTCAAAGTCCAACATATTTAAATATCTGCAGTCATAATGTCGGGTAAACAGAGATGTCAGTGCAACATCCGCAGTTATGGAGGCTTGAATTTTTCAACAAACTGGTCAAAATGCTTTTTTGTCCCAATGATGTTGCAACATGATTCCACAATCAGGTTAATATTGTAGTGATGGAAGTTTCTGTAAGCGTCTATAAGTACCGCGGATGGGTTTACATTAGAGTCAATAGAAATCCCGGTGGGTCCCATACAGTAGGTGATGGGTACCATATGCGGCTGTATGGGATGCCAAAAGGAAAGAGACAAAGCGTCAGTCTTCGACGAATTGGAAAGGAGGTATGCTTGTTTCTGTGAAGCAACAAATTGTAGCACTGTGCCCAAGAAAAGTTTCCCCTTGTGGACAATAAAGTTATTTCTGTTCTATTCTATTATGAATTCTATCTATCTATAATAGTAATTACGGATCGACCAATATGGATTTTTCAGGGCCGATGCCCTACGGACTGACGATTTTCTTGAGCCGATATTTGGAGCCAAAGCTACTTTTGCTCCCTCAATTTACATCATAAAAAGTACACAATGATGATAACAAATGTTACAAGTCTCAATTTAAAAATAAATTCTGAAAATGAATATTTAAGCATAAATAAAATAATGACACACACTATTGCACACAGTAGCAAAAATAATCTCTAAGATCAGATCAAACTCTTTGTCCCACACAGAGGAGTTTCAAAGACATTATTGGTGATTTGTGGAAAAGAGAAATGTAAAAGATCAGAGGAAAGAGCAGAGGAAAATAACGTGATGTCAGATGCGCATTAAGCAACAAACTGTTCAAGTTTCTGTTCTAAATTGAATCAACGTTAACAGGAATAAATATTCAACCAAGTATAAAACTGTTTCTCAAAGGTTTAAAAGCTGTCCTTCAGTCGGGGCAGCACTCTCATATATCACTGTGATGCGTGTGTCCCACTGAGTGAGACGACACACACACACACACACACACACACACACACACACACACACACACAAACTTCTGTTTGGTAGCTGACGCTGACTGAAAAACGTAACCACCATTGAACTGGATTGCTAATGCTAACGTGTGCAAACGGCTCTAAACACTAGTAAGGCCATCACGGTGCACTTGTCTGGTACATGATAAACGTTAACACAAATTAATATTCAACTACGTATAAATCTTTCATCATTAAAGCTCTTCTTGAGTGGGGGTTGCGCTATGATAGCACTGCGATGGCAAGGGAACTCCGCCCCGCTCCAAGTAGGGAGAGCGGGAGAGAGAAACACACACAGGCGTCCAAACCTCCAACCAGGTGATCGCTAAACAAAACTGCTACAACACCACAGAACCACGGAACAACGTCGGCATTACTTAATCCTATGGCTAGAGGTGGGCGATATATATCGTTTGCGATAATATCGTCATTGTTGTTTTGACGATGTGCAAATTTCCATTATCGAGTATTTAAATTACTTCGACAAAAACAATGAAACGCCCGCGGAAACTCCTCACATCCATTAATACACGGTGCAGCAGCGCTCTCTACAGCATGGCAGGATTCAGTCACACGACTAGTGGGCCTACGTGATCACATGACGTGATCACGTGACCTCTCGCTAGCATCCTCCTTGCAACAGTTTAGCAGCGCGTTGTGATGGTAGAGAGAAAATGCAAATACCTCCAGTCCCTGAAGCTACCGGTATGTCAGATGATTTAGTGCCGAGACGTGGGTCCTATGGGCTTCAGCGTTCAGAGCGCTAAGCGCCTTCAGTGGTAAAAAGATGTCAGCGGAGACGGTTTTTTTTAGCGCAGCGCTCAGAGTGCTTCAAGTTGAAATCTGTTCAACTTTTAACACCGCTGGGCGCTCGGAAAATGAGTTTTTGAGCGCTCTCAGCGCTGCAAACGCGTTTGGTGGACACAAGTCCAGCTCAGACAATTCTAATCACATTTTAAAGGATATCGACTGATTATCGTTATCGCCAAAATCCCCAAAAATATTGAGATATTATTTTTTGCCCATATCGCCCACCCCTACCTATGGCCAGTGTTCGTAACAGCTACCGTATGAATACATATAGCGACAATGGCAAGCAGTTAAAAGATGCTTTGAAAGTTTAAAAGTTGTGTTGAAGAGCAGGCTTCCAGCACTCTCCTAGTGGGGGAGGGGCTACGCATGGTCTGCACCTGCACTGCAGCGTCTCCAGCAACACGGAGCTGCCTGTGGACGCCTGTCTGTAAATAATGCTGGATCTGCGAACGCAGCAGCCCGTATCGGCCGATGCCGATACACGTAGAAACCGCAAAAATCTGCCGATAATATCGGCCGGCCGATGTATTGGTCGATCACTAAATGTGAGTCACCAATTTTTCCATTTCTATTACTACTTTAACCTCCCCTCAGGGTACATTTTATTTTTAGTGACATTGAAACAAGAATATTACAAAGGTGTCGGCTACTGTACTGACTGAATACATATTGAACAATTAAATAGGCTAGAGACTGAAGCTTCGTGCACGCAGGTTCCACAGATTATTATTTTGTTTCAAGTGAATCAAAAGATAAAATAGTTATTATTAATAATAACTATTATCAATCACAGCACACAGCTCGGATTGTGATTGTGCATCATTGTTTCATGTTATGAATATATCCAAGATGAGTCATCTAAGGTGGCGCCACATGCGGTCGCCTCTGTTTGTTGGTGCGCTTTGTTTTTTCTTGTTTTGTTTGTTAACTCAGTTTTTCAGCTGTGATACCCGGAGCTCTTTCACTAGAGAAGAGCTCATGAATATCAGGGGAACAACTCAAGCTGATCTGTGAAACTTCACCATCAGTTCTCAGCCAACGACTCTGGTTCTGTCTGGAAGAGGCTCAGACAGATAACCAACTACAAAATCACTTTTGTCCAACTCTGACAGCCGTACTGCCTCCACACTCACACAGTGACGCACAGCATCAGGAGCAGTTCACACTTCATCTATGTGAAGAATGATAATATGAAATTTGATTGTAGCTTACAGTCAAATGCTCAGTTTGATGATGAAATGTATTTGTTGTTTATTTCTGACTTTTAGAGCTCGGTGGTTCTCACAGGACAAACATATGATGATCTTATAGAATCTGACACGTTGCTGTAGATTAAATAAAGTAGTTCAACATCTACATCCACATGAATGCAGCAGTAATATTGATCCATCAGATATAATAGTCCAACCTGTTCCTGCACTATCACTACTTTTCCTTTGAGTCCATTGTGCTGATCATCCTGTTACTGCAGTAAAGGCTGTGAATACTACTTCCAGCTCAGAGTGTGAACAGTGAGAGAAGAAGCAGTACAGTGAACCAACCTGCTCTGTGTAACCGAAGTTGAGGGTTGAAAACAGCGTCCAGTAGTTTCCGTTGTCGCTCGTTCTCCTCTTTTGAACGACAAAGTTCCTCCTCGTACTCTGCTATCGTTCTTTCAAACAGCCCAAATATCTCTTCAGCAGCCGCAGTTAGTCGCTGCTTCACCAACGCTCTCAGCATTTGGACTTTACACATTTTCACACAATCACACAAACTCCGTCAAAAACACTGTTTCCACTATGTAAAATTGGCTTCAAAGACCGGTGTACTTTGTTGGCTCGTTACTGTGGATGTCACACACACTTTCTCAGCACGACAACACTGTGCTTCTTCTTCGTGGTGTTTAATGGCGGCTGGCAAACAACGTTATGGAGCATTAGCGCCACCAACTGTTATGGAGTGTGTATCGGGAATCTGACTATACATTCACTAATACTACTAATAAATAACAGAAGATGAGGACAAATAAAGTTATATTATTTCTATTAAGTTGAGATATTGAAGCGAATAGAGATAAAACACTTCTCCCCAGAACTTCTTTGTAAAAGATCTCATAAGTCAAAGCTCAGCTTTATTTCTTTCAGCTTCAGTATCAGTTCC